TACCCACAGTCTGGTCCAAGTTCAAGTTCCGCAGACAACAACTACTATGGTGATCAATCGACACTTGGTTCAGCATACTCTGAGCCAAGTTTTGGCTACTACTATAGCGACCAATCATCTTACGACTACTATGGCAACCAACTCCCACAACAATGGCCTCCGATCCAAAACCCCCCTGCCGTTGAATGGGGAGAGTTCCAGCCAACGGCTTCTTTCCCTGTCAATTATTCGGTGAACGACCTGGTTTCGTCGATGGCGCAGCCCCCCGCTCCTCCTTCGGGAGCCCCGTTTTCCAGCTCACTTCTGAACGCGATGGGGAGGGCAGCTCGGCCCGGTAAAGGCGACAGCCGGTGATGCGAGTGGCCAAGCCGTTTCGGATCCGACGTCACAGGCCGTTTCGACCGTTTCGACTCCGACGTCACAGGCCGCTTCGGATCCGACGTCACAGGCCGGCTTGGCATCCGCCAACCTTAAAGTCGCCAAGGCACGTCGCAAACCGGTATCACAGGCCACGGCCGAGCCTCGCCGAAGCTCACGTTTGGCGGGACCCAATAACGACTTCGACACCGAGACGGAGAGCAACGCGCGCACCAGGCTGCAGTGTCCTTCAGATGCCCCGCCATGGTTGGTACGAATGTACAGCCTCGTCACGAGTAGCGACCTTGGCCCCCATTTTGACGCCATAATCAACGCCTGGTTGCGGATGGAGATCGCGTCTCTTTACGAGTCATCGATAGAAACGATCCCGACGGGGCATTGTCCGACTACTCTATCATCATGGTTTTATGACGACGACGGGGTGCGACTTCCTCCACGACTTCAAGGGAAAAAGAAGGCGAATTATATCAAGGCGTGGAAAGGGTGGTGGGATACTTTGCAGCCCTCTTGGCGGCGGCGCGGGCAGGATGGTGAATGGAGACTTGACATGGCTTATCCGGAAAACATACTCGAGTGGGAAGACCTCTACACATGGGGTCAGGGGGGTGTTGGATGCATTGTTGCAGGTCTCTTCCTGTGGGGAACGAATTTGGATGCCAACGAAACGAGTGCGGAGTGGATCGCAGCGCTGGCTGATGTATCATGGGTTTTGGAAGGTATAGCTACATTCTACGAGAGGTTCAGGTGGAAAGAAAAGAAGAATAAAGAAGTGCGAAAAGGCAAACAGAGGTAGCGTAGCAGTAGCAGAATTAGTATTGTATCTGCTCTTGAAGACTTGGAAAAGTGAAGATAACTTGACCAAAGAGTCGGTGACTATATATTTGTGAACTCGGAATGTCTAGAAGAGAAAAGAAGATTACGGCGGGATTCGAACCCAGAGATTGTGGACTTAGAGAAAGAGGCCTCACGATAAAAGGTGAAGATTAACGCGGGATTCGAACTCAGAGATTTTTAGACTTGGAGAAAATAAGCCTCACGATAAAAAGTGAATATTGACGCGGGATTCGAACCCAGAGATTTTTGGACTTAGAAACTGAGCCTCGAAATATGTGATACGAAGGCGCATCAGCCTGCGCATCAGCCTGCGCATCATTCATGCGGAACCTGCGCATGCTGCATAATGGGGTGCACTACACCAAGCTAAGGCAGTGATGCCTTCCGACAAATCACCACGGCATGAATGGTAAGCCGAGCGAGAGCCAGAGGGGCTACCATCACATCAAGCCGAAAATGATGCTAGATCAGTGCCGATGATGATGCCGCATTATGCGCTAAAAAGCCTTTGAAATGGCTGGATTTACCCATGCCATTTTCACTGTGCATCCTAAGGGCCAGCATAGCTGATTCATTCCAAAAGCCGGCAACCGAAGCCGGCCAGGATCGGGATCACCATATGTCACGTGATCGAGTACCTGGGAAATGACGGGCCGAAAACATAGCATCACACCAGATTCTACAGCACTACAATATCCTTGCAGGGAAGACACAAATAATAGTCCCTGAACTGCTATGGATATGCAGATATTACTTTTTAGTGCTGGCACTGAAAGTGGGCAGCCAGCCGAGCGACGCCGGGAATTCAGCAGAATTGATGAATTGATAATCAACAACAGCCGAAATGCCTGCGCTGAACAAGCAATGTTGATGAGGCGCAATAGTGGCTTTTTGTACAAATTTTACCCACTGTGGCATGAACTGAAAATTCTATGAGGCTTCCTAAATGCCCAGGTGAGCTGCTGTACAGGCCGGATTGTCGAAGGGACGAGCCGGCGCACGGACCGAATTGCGTAAGGGTGTAGCCAAGCACAACCAAATAGTAATCGGCTGTCATTCGATTCCATCATTAGGTCGGTTTTTTAGAATCAATAGGTATGCGACTGACCCCCCCCCCTGCTGCCTAAAGGAGAATAGGGAACGTCCCAGAGCGTGCACGAGAAGTCCATGTGCAACGAACAAATCATCACTGATGCGTTCCCAGTATAGTAATCCCATCTTGCCACACCCTTCAATTGCGGGACATTAGTCTAATGTACCTCTTTCAATTGACAGGTCCATTAGTCTAATGGGTAGGGTCACGGCTCGAAGACCAAGTGATGCAAGAGGATGTGTTTTGTGCCATTATCAACGGAATCACCGCCGTTGGCCAGAAACGCAAGTCACGATGGGACGACGAGGCAATACATCTCAGCAGTAAGAGAGTGAAGGAGCTTGTACCCAGCACCAGCCCCATATATTACAAGGAATACTTCGGGCGCGCAGAACCACATTATGGTTGGGATGAACGAGTCAGACTGGACGACGTTTTTCTTCATAACAATCAAGTGTCACCTCCCCCTCCTAAGCCAGCATCAAAGCGCAAAGGCAAAAAGTCGCCAAGGAAACCTCGAGTCGTACCACCGCCTCAGTCCAACTCATCAAATCACGTCCCGCCGCCCACGACAGTTCGTCGCAATGAAAATCTCTCCAAATAGACGGGTGGCGCCTGCGACAGGTCTGGAATATTTGGTGGGTCATAATGTTCGGGTCGGCCGGGACCATAAGCAATTCCGGCGGGAACTTGGAGTAGTACGCTTAACAGACGCTATCAACCAGCGTGCTGTCTGATTGTAATGGCTCAGAATGTAATGATTTGTCGCCGCGAATTCGAAGGATGACTCAGCAATGAGTTAGCATCAATTGTCTCTTCTTCAAGTTCATTGCCTTTGAGCGCACAATGAGCAGGCCGAAATATGTTTTTGCCCAGTAGGTTTCTAGCGCACTTTGCCTCCGCCAAAGCTTAACCAGCGTCAGCTTCATGGTGGGCAATACATATGTCCGTAGTGTTGCTGGCAAGAAGTGGCGCCGAAGTCGAACTAAAGTTTTTAGCCGTATACTATGGAAGACTGGGCTGCCGACATAGACGACGCCCTCGCAAATCACCTGTCCGTTGTCTTACTTGATCCAGCTTGCATATACTCACTGCATAAACGACCAGCGACGGATTTGTCCTCAACGTGGGCAAAGAAGACTGGCAGCGCAGTCGCGTCGTGGACTGTTTCTCAGCGGCTTCCGCCTCCCGGCTTTCTTCAAAACGATTTCATTTTTTCCTGAGCTTTGATATGAGGTATTTTTGCAGCTCTCTTCATGGGTTGAATGCACTCAAACGTGTCAAGCTCGATCCCATCTTCCAACGCTTCGGACGTACGCTTGCTTTGCGACTTCTTGTCTGCCATCGGGAATCACCCTAGAATGCTCAAAATCCACGACGAGGGCATAACAAAGGTTGTTGTCTCGACTTTTGCGGGGGAAAACAGTTTGTTTGGACAACGTGATTTGGACTCCGCTTGGATTTTCGTGAAGAGGGCAATGGAGGAGAGTCTGGCCCAACCAGTAATTTGCTGCTAACACACCAATCTTGTGCGCTAAACCATTCCAAGGTCTGTTTCATACCTGCGTTCTTCATCGATCCAGCACGCTACTCGACCCTTTCCTCTTTGGACGGCGCATTCAACGTCAGCATTTGCACACATCAGGTCGTTCATTGACGAAGCATAGTGGAATGGCAGTTGGCCGATACACCTTACGCCTTCGCATTCTCGTAGCGAAATCGAAAACCCTAGTCTGGACGCCGACTGGAGCTATCTGAACAATCTGGACGGCAAGCTATTCATGGCGGCGGTTTCCCCGTGGTTCTTTACGGTAATATACCGTAATGTCACTATTGAGATGGCGGTTTGACTGTGAATCTAGCATTATGGGGCCGAGAGCTGGAACAAAAATGTAAGCTGAATTCAATATTCAAGAACAACAACTTACTTTGGCCCAGTGGATATACCGCTCCGACGACTGGCTGCTAGTGCGACGCTGGGAAGAGCTCATACCGCTTCGTTCACGCATAGATATTGTGCAAGTGATTTCATGGAATGGTAAGTGTCAACGAATTTCTGTTTACTTCAAACTGAGACGCTTCCAAGACTACGGCGAGTCTCACTACATATGCCCCACAGTCCGCGGCGCGCAGCCCAACTCTCAAAAATGGGTTGATGGGTTCCAGCATGGAGGTTGGGCACGACTGTGTGGCTATTTTGCCCGCGCGTTCAGAGACGGTGTCTACCCGCCCATCGAGCGCGATGAAATTTTTTGTGTGGGCTCGGCCACATGCGCGTCAAGCGAAGGCTGCTGAGGATATGGTCCCTCGACCACAGAGTTGGGAGCTTGTGAGTTCATCATGATTGGCTTTCGCAATGGAATTCGGATGATCAAACTTCGTGTAGACAGACGATAAATGCTGGGTGGTCATTCTGTCTACTGAGCCTGCCGACGTGTACATGTACTCAGGGGAAACAGACGTCGTCATCGCAGAGATCGATAAAGGATTGTCGCGCTTGTCACGTCCGTTGGTGGTCGGGCAGGGCATGACTGTCAGGCTTCAGCGTCGCGGAAAATTTGTTGCCGAGTGTGATGCAAAGGGCTTTATATTCTCAGATACCCCCGCGATGTATAACTTCAACGCGTTTGTAGCATCTCAATGAGGAGTGCGCATCACTACCAAGCACGTGACCGTGACCCGCTTCCCTTCCGACATGAGCCCGAATCCCAAGGTCCCGCAGCGCTGTCCGACGACTGGTAGCAAATACACGGGATTTGACTTACCGACCGAGCTGGTCTTGTCTATTGCAGGCTTCGCCTCGCGACAGTCCCTTGGTCGCCTTTGTTGCGTTTCCCGTCGCCTCTGCTCGATTTTGGTGTACCCCCTTTACGAGACGATCCTCCATTTGGACGAAAGGCAGTCTGTGTTGCTAGCGTGCACCCTTCGGACCGCGAAACCTCCAAACTGGAGACCCCATCCTGCAGAAATCATTAAGACAGTGACCTTCACCGACGATGAAGGGACGACCGCGAATGGATGGGACGTGAGCAATGCCACCAAGGCCCTCGAAAACCTCGTTCGTTGTGTCCCAGGCGGCACTGGGTCTCCGTTAAGGACGCTACATTGGAGCGTCTGCTCTTTCATGGATCGCCTCGGTCCGCTTCTCATGGCCCCTGGCAATTTCCCAAATTTGAAGGAGCTGTTCGTTATATCGAATGGGACGAATCGAAACTTTATGGTGCGTATATCGTCGGCACACACCTGTTCCACAATTTACTTCTGCTTAGTTCATGCACAAAGGTGGCTTGGAAACATTCAGCTTGGAGTTGAGCATAGATTTATCCGGTGCGTTCCATACACACTCCAATTTTATCTTGTCTCACAGACCTAACAGACGAAGACGAAGCTTGTCTGCTCTACAAGCTGGGCGAATCGATGCAAATGTTACCTATTACGAGCCCCGACCTTCGTTCTCTCCGAATCAAGCTCGATATGTGGTTTGAAGACCTTCCCTTCCATGGTTGCAGTGAATTCACGAACTCTTTCAACCATGTGCGGTTCCCAGTACTCGAAAAACTTGATCTCTCCGTGTCCTTCAGAGCCGACTATGGGTTCGTTGGTGGTGATGAAGATGAAGAGGAAATGGACTTCATGCCGTTCTTGACTGCTCACCCAACTGTTGTTGATCTTTCCTTGTGGGCAATGGGAACGGAGCCTCTGGAGAATATCCCGATGTTCTCTAATCTACGCTCTTTCAAAGGAGTTCCTGCAGACCTTACTCTCCTCCTTCTTCTCAAGCCTCAGCAGCTTAACTCGATCTTCATCACGCTCGTCCATCGCACCGATTACGAAGCCCCGTCTTTCTACATCCCTCTCCTTGACACCCACATGGGCATAACAAGGCTCACCATCGAAGCCTCCAAAGCGGACGGCTCGATTCTCAAAAGTCCCGATGAAGTGTCTCCGACGACCCTCGCAGCCCTTGCTTCGTCATTTCCTAACCTCGAGCACTTGGACATCCCCTTGACCGAACCAATGGCCCAATACGTCAAGGCACTGAAATCTCTGAAAAAGCTCGAGACCATTCGATTGCACGAATACCGCCGCAAGAAAATAACATCGAAACGACTGCTTGCCAAGGCCTTCCCCCACACGAAATATGTCCAACCTATCCTAAACCAGCTCGTTCCCTTTCTCCCGCAACTTACGTCCGTCGAAATCTGCATTCTGGCAGACGACCGCGGGCCTGGCAGAGAGGTGAGGTGCACATGTGGCCAGTGCGAGTCGTTCGATGAAGATGAAGATGAGTCGGAGTTTATGCTCCAACCTGCGGAGATCGAAATCGAGTATCACTTCCAAATTGCGCGGCCCAAGGATGGAGAGGCCAAGGTTGTGTTGGAGCGGTCCGCGTTTATCGATGCACGACCTGCCACTATGTTTTTCAACGCCTTAGCGGCAATGTTGTAGTCTTTTTGTCGACACAATTTTTTTACTATGCACATAATGCCGTTTTTTGATCCGTTTCCCATATCTTCACTGGCCACAGCGAACCTTCACCTTGGTCGCAGTCGGACTGCATTGTCACTGCAATACCGGAGTGTCTGATGTTGATCTAGCTGGCCGAAAGCGCCGAACGCTTCAACGAACCCATGACGACTTGTAACTTGAACATGGAATGTACATGCTACGAGGCATTGCACTCGAACTAGGCTCCACCGCCATCCATCGTTTGGGATCCCTTCCCCGTTGAAAGGAATTCTAGGCTTGACACGAGTTCTTGTGGGTCCGGCGCCGAGGTAGCTTGCGTTTTCCTGTCAATCGTCTCCAGGCTTGAAACATTGCGACAGGAATAAGTGAACCACGGCGACGAAATCGAAAAGGCATTGATGAAGCAGGAACGGACTTGTCGGCTCGAATAGTTCATTGGCTTAAGGGTCTTGACTCGGACTGCAATCCTATCTTCAACTTGACTTGACACAAACTACAAACTTGAACCATGTCAACCGAGCCGCAGTCCGCTGCCTCCCACCACCACTCGCAGCCCTCTACCACTCCACCACTGACAAGTCCATATGTAGTCCACGTTGTTCTTACCCCCAACGCAACTCCTCCGCCTTTCCTCAAAAACACTTATTCTCTACTGCTTTCGGCTATCCGACTACTGAATGACGATGAGATGTGCTACCTTTCGTACCATGATAGCTATTGTCTGGTGTATTCGAAAATGGCGTGGAACAGAGACGCATTCCCGAACCCTTGCTTCCCCGAGAACGTGTTCATGTTCAAGCGATACATTGAGCAGGAGCATCGTATAATATGCGTGAGCAATCGGACCGAGGTTCTCGAGACGGAAAATGTCATTTGGGGCACGACAAACGTATCACCCACGGTGACCCAACGACATTGGCTATCTCATTCCCACTTTTGACGCAGTCTTCGTGCAGAGCTATGAATCTACCGTGCGTTACATGAAGCTCTCAATCTTTTCCCTGGACTAATATCATGATGTTACTTCAGTTCTGCTCTGCTAATCCCTCCCCTCAAGTCCTCGCTCGCCGCGAAATGTTGGGCATCATGCTCTGTGTTACCCTCTACCATGAGTTGGCATGTACATGGGTAAAGAGTTTGGCGACCCGAGTTGTAAATTGGGCCCATTAATATATTGGGGGCCCACATTTGATCCGGGTACAGAGGTTGGTCGGGTGGTGGGGTACTGTTTTGTGGATCGTTCGCAATGCAGTTTGAGCAAAAGGAAGACGCCGACAAGTCGGACCGATTCAATCGAATCAGCAAAATGTGGTTCAAACACTCAAGTGAGCGAAAGACATTTCCAAGGTGGCTAATAGAAATCACAAGACAATGCCAACAGGATCTATTATGAATCGGGTTCGCCAGGACAATCGTCGTGTACCTCTTTACTAATCCTAGATCCAGATTTCGAAACAATCAGTCGATTTTACCAAGGTCTTTCAGGATCCGCCACCTCGCTCAAGCTTGATCAAATTATTGAGCAATTTACTCATAACACCCCCCGAACCAACCCCCTTCCTCAGAACGTGACCCACTTGGTATACTGGACGCCACCTGCCGAACTTAGATCACGCACGGAGCCTGAGGTTCATGTCAAGAACAGATACCCTCTCCGAGTCCAGTGTGCGACCCAAATCGTATAGTGGATGCTTATCAAGAATGTTCGGTGGTACGAGCTGGATATGGTGGGACTCAAACAAGCGACTCGCGTCGTAAGTTGGCAATGGTGATTCGGAGAAACTTTGGTTTCGAATTCTCTTGTACTCTTCCAGCTCGATGAATGCAACATATCTTTCTCGAGCCCCTAAAATCTCAGGCGCATGTTACATAATACAGAGTCACGCCATCGTCACCCGCCTAATTTTGGTCCATACCATGACGAAGAAAGCCAAAATCCACTCCAACTCCTGCTCCAGCCTCCTCACCTTCTCACCAATCCCCAAGAGTTTGTGCGAAGTGTCTGTTCTCGACATTCCAGCGCCGTACGCGTGTAGTCCGTGTCTCTCTAGTCGCTAACCTATAACAGAATAATACATGCAGTCCCTCCCGAAATCTGTGCTCAAATCGCTCAATGCTCTACTCGTCAAACAGTGTCACGACTCTCATTGTCTTCTCACCGACTCTACTATGTCTTCTCCCCATTGCTCTATGAAAACATCGGCAACCTTACATCAACCCAAACCGCCCGCCTTCTACAGACACTCAACGCCGGTTCATGCACATGGCGAACAAATCCAGCACTCTTCATCGCCAAACTTTCCCTTGTCGAAGTCCCGAAAGAAAATCTGAAATTTGACGCGTCCCAAACGGCCCTCCAAAACATGCATGCAGCCTCAGCATCACGTCTTCGCAGTTTGCATTGGGGTATAACATCTGGCATCGACAAGCTAGGCGCCGTAATTTCAACTGAAAATTTTCCGCGTCTGAAGGAGCTGTTCGTGTCGTGTGGAGATGGCGGAGAAGTCAACACTTTCAGCGTGCGTTTTCTGCAATGTTATGTCCTTCTCCCTAATCCATATAATCTTGTGCAGTTCATGAATAAGGGCGGGCTAGAGGCATTGGGTATCACACTGGAGCTCGACCTTGAGAGTGAGTGCTCTTTTCCATTTCTGCAATTGGGCATTGATAGGTGCAACAGGTCCAAAAATCAACCATGTGACCGCAGACCGACTGCTATACAAACTAGCCGAAGCAATACGGGCTCTCCCTCTCACTTCCCCTGATCTTTACACACTTCAACTTCATGTCCAAGTTCACTATCCCTTAGATGAACTGCCCGACGCTCTCTCAGACCTCGTTGATGCACTGAACAGCCTAAAATTCCGCTCTCTTCAAAGTCTTGACGTCTGCCTCAAGTGCATTCCTGTATTTGACGATGATGACTACCTCTGTATCGACCTGACCACTTTCCTCAATGCTCACCCGCAACTCACAAAGCTGATTCTAAATGTTCCTGATACCAAACTCGACAAACCTGCTTTTATTTCCTCTCTCCGCTCTTTCAGTGGAAGTGTTGTCGATGCAACACATCTTCTTCAACAGAAAAATATTCGTCTCGAAGAACTCAACGTTGTTCACATCCACGATTCTTTCTATGACCCGCCTCTTTTTCTTGTTCCGGTGTTTCCGTCGCTATCCTCGCTAACGAAACTTTCGCTCTCCGCCAATAACCATGGCGGCAATATGCTCAAGCCATTCAACCACGTATCACCGTTATCACTTCAATCAATTGCTACGTCGTTTCCCAACCTCACACACCTCAGTGTTCCAATCAGCGACTGTATGGTAAGCGTCTTACTTTCGTTCCCTTCTGCAGCTCAGAGAATATAGTCGGCATATAAAACTTGCTTGTGGTGTCTCCCTCGTCTCCAAGAACTCCGTTTATGCGAATACCGCGTCCAAGATATTCCGATGGGTTGTCCACTTGCTGAGCTGTTCCCAAGTATCATGTTCGTGTCTGAGATTCGTCTTCTTCTGGGTTCGCTGTCAGAGTTAAGGCTGGTTGCGGTCACGTTACTCGTGGACGATGGGAGCATGGACGACTTTTGCCTCGAGTGCGGCTGCCGGTCGGACGTGTATGTGGCGCGGATGCTGGATCACGAGGAGATGCGTGTCGAGTACGAGTTTGTTGTGTTGCGCCAGGAGGAAGTGGTGATGACATTTTCGGAGTTCGTCGACAAGAGAGTTAGGCGGAGACCAAGAACTGTTCCAAGTCATGCGGAGTAGACAATGCACCAACAGATAATGCCATTCGGATTGTAGCATTGAATTTTGGGCGTTGAATTACGTAGTCTGGAGTATGTACTTGGGAGTGTGACAGGCTTCTCTTCTCTTCAACTCGTCTCTGGTTATGCAGGCGACGTCTTCCTCTCTCTCACAGCCATTAGGCACCCCCAGATCATCCCAACTCCCTGAACCTGCACGAAGCCGTTACGCACTCCATATCGCTCTTTCTCCCAACGCGGTACCTCCTGTTTTCATCAAGCACACATATGCTTTGCTGGTGTCAGCAATTCGGCTCCTCGCTCAGGACGAGTCTAGTTGCCGCTCATACGACTGTCTCTATCATATCGTACACACGCGATTGCCGCAGCCAAGGACCCCGTATCCCAAGCCATTCACCCGCGAAGCCAGATTCCAGGAATATGCTGGCCGTCAAGAACACCCTGTGTGCATCACCAACTGGATAGAAAAACCTGAGACCGGAGTCGTAACCTGTGGCGAAGTAAACTCGTCGCGCGCCAAACAAGATGAACTCGGTTATCTCGTTCCGGCACTCAACGCAGCTCTCGTGGAAAGTTACGAAGCGACGGTGTGCAACTTCACTCATCTCGCCCTTGAGACTCATGTTCCCTTAGTTCCACTCCACCGATCCCTCCACACAAGTCCTCAATCGCCGCGCCATATTGGGCATAATGCTATGTCTCACTTTATACCGCGAACTTGCCCACACATGGCTCAAACACCTACTTCGTCATGTCATGAGTGCAGATGAGTTGCAGCAGTGGAAGGAGCCCGATATGGGGGATACTTTTGGTGGAAATGCCGGGGAGCAGATTGAGACCCTCTTATTCCGTGGGGCCATGGCCTTCCAGTTCCAAGCGCGGGAGGACAACGAGAAACCCGACCGTTTCGACCGAATCAACACAATGTGGTTCAAGCATACCGGTAAGTAACGAAATTCGCAAGCGTCGAGGTGGCTGATGGTAACCGAAGCGGATACTCCATACTATGGGCCTGGTTTGTGTGGCTGCCTCAGGTTCTTTCTTCGCTGATTCCATGTTTAGCTTCTGACGACGTTTTGCGGTTGTACCGAACTTTGGCAGGTCTCGATACGGCGAATCAATTGGGTGGAATCATTGATCAGTTCGTGAAGAGTATTGTGCGAGGTGGGATGGTTGTTTTGCCGACGAAGGAAATAGCCATGGCGAGACCCAAGGTTAAGCAGGAGACCCCACTTGTATATCCCATCGGATGTGGGACCCACACCATCAACTAGATATGCCGCAAATAGCGCTAGATATCGAGAGTTGCAACCGGCTAAAGAGTACTATTGGGAAGACAATTGACAAGAATTTGAGGTGCGACTGAGGGGAGTATACGACCTACGACCAAAGATGCACAGTCCGCTTCCCCAAGAAGAGCCACATTTCCAAACACTCAGTTCCTGCTGTCAATGTTGCCTTGAATGCATCCCAGCTGTCGAAAAGCGTCGTGATATCCACAATCTTGATAATTGCCTCCCAGTCGGAAGGCGGCAGTTTACAGACCCCATTGTCGACGTAACAGCCTGCATGGCTTGCGAACGCCTTGTCTTCGAGTTGCTGGCAAGTGGAAGTCGCGTTGGGCCGGCCAAGCGCGTCATCGACAAGTGCGAGCTGGAGACAGTGCAACGTGGCGAGCATCCATTTCTGGCCAGCTGGGCTGAGCGTCGAACGCGCGGCCTGGAATTTGGTGCAGTAGTATTGCCCGTAACCAAGAGGGTAGCCGCTGGGTCCACAATGGTAGCGCGATTCGAGGCAGTCGGCGTAGAACGAACACGTGTCTGGTGGTGGGGAGGCGCAGTCGGGGCTGGGATTGGGTGGCGAGAGCTGTTGGCTGGAGCTGGGGGTGAAGAGAGCGAGAATGGCGAGGGCTGTCCCGAGCACAAGGCTGCTCGGTGTTTAGAATAGGTTCGGCGAGGGAGGAGCAGACTCACAAACGCGTGGTCAACATGCAGATGCTGAATGGGTTGGGTGAGTGAGTGGAGGGACAAGAGGACTGAAAGCGCACCGCGACATCTTGTCGAGATTGGTATTTGAAGCGAAGAAGCCTGTCATCTTGTGACCGTGCTTCCTGCCGAAGCCGAAGAGGCTTGTCCGGGTTATGCGTCCCGCTGGAAGCTGGAATGGTGCCAGATTCCGACTACATATGCACCATGAGTACAAGCAATACGATTTGGGTTCCACTCACCGACAGGAGGACTAGGCCTGCAGTTTAAATAGGGCTCCATCTCGCAGCAAATGGCTCTGGACATTTGGCATGGTGGTTGAGACTCTCATTGAGAGATTGAGAGATGCGCTGTGGCATGTCAGCGTCAAGCTGATCGTAACATTGCGGAAGTGATCCGAATTCGATTCAGAATATCCTTTTTGGGAAGCAGGCGTAGATACAGCTAGTAAATTCAGTACACCTACAACTTCGTTGTAGAACAGCTCAAAAGAGTAGGTGACAGCGTCAATATTGCTCTGCAGGTTGATTAAATACGATTGTTGGACCATTTTGGTTGTTTTAGTAGCCCCGACTGATGTGTAATCAGGAAGAGATATAAAGGCATTACATGCAATCTATTCCATTTCAATTAGGAATATCACTGGATTTTGCCTCTAGATACTATCCAGATTACTAAAACTCATACCAATTTAATCTCACCAACTTATTAAAAAATCACATTAATACTGAATATTCCACCGTCAAAATGAAAGTATTTTAAGAGCCAAAGCAACAGCATAAGCTCAAGGACTCAGCTTCGGCTCGGTTCTAAGCTGAGTACAAGGTAGATATCAGACACATATGACCTTCAACAGATGACTAGGAGTCCTAAAAGTTTCCAGCGCCGAGAATCAATTTGGGACTCGGAATGTGCACAGATACAACACGCGCTGATTCGAGGGCTATTTGAATATGCAAACCTGACCAGCTGACATGACGAGGCGGTAAGATCGGGCTTGAAGTGATGGGCCATGCTGCCATATAAAGCAGCGAATACCCGGCCACTGGCATTCGCCGTCTGATGCAAGCTCTGCTTCCCTCCACTCATCAGTAATACTCAGGAAACGATGGAAATATCCCTCGTCTTCGATTTATTTGATGATATGAGGGCCGCCTTACAGCTCAGCGTACCTACCATTGCACGCGCTCTTCTCCGGTCTCCGTCATTGCTTTTTCACCCCGCGGCACTGTCGCGGATAGGAATGGCGGCAGTTTGGGTTGCCTTCGGCGAAGGTGGTGATGAAAACTCGCGGAAAATGAAGATAGAGCTTATTACACCGCACGCGGAGGGCGTCGTCCTCGACCTCGGGGCAGGTGGGTAGGAATGATACCAAAATATTGGATTTTTATATTTGTCAATAGGACATGGACATGTTGCACAGTATCTGGACCGCGAAAAAGTCTCGAAATACATCGCACTCGAGCCCAACACCCTGATGCATGCTCGACTTCGTGACAGAGCCCGGTTGGCGGGGTTTGACGAGGAAACAGGGACACTGGCGATCCTCTCCTGCGGAGCTGAAGACACGAAGACGATTTTGTCATCGCTTGAAGAGCCGGTAACGACGATCGTGTCGGTGTTGACGCTTTGCAGTGTGCCAGACCCGCAAGAAACGATTCGCAAGCTCGTGGCGAATGTGTTGGCGCCGGGTGGAACGCTGATCATGCACGAGCACGTGCGCAGTTATCGTCGGGACGTGGCGTTCTGGCAGGGCTGGCTGGGGGTGCTGTGGAGGATGGTCTTTGACGGGTGTAATATCGACAGGCTGACAGATGTCTGGGTGCGGGAGTTGGTTGACGAGAATGGCGAGAGCGTGTGGACAGAGGGGTCGGAGGTGTGGAATCCAGCGATGGAGGCGGGAGAAAGCATGCTCCCGAGGAGGAATGGTCGATTTGTGAAGAAGGGATGAATGTGTGTTTGTTTGTTTCTGTTGTGTCGTGTTTATGTGACTTTCAGGGATCAGAATTTAAAGCTTGGTGGGCACACACCAAGACGAAAGCAAGGCACAATTGACGCGTACGTTTCGTTCCTGAGTTTTTATGTCGTTCTTGGCGTCTACCGGATGAGGGCCAGAGTGAACGTGGAAACGGATGAGCGGCTATCATACATAGCGACTTTGGAACTCCGTTCATGAATGGGTTATGGCTGATCGGAGAAGATGAGTTCCTCCGTCCGTCGATACTCCCGGGCGTCGATACTCCTCCGATTTCCTGATGCGCCGTCTGGAGGTAAGTGTGACTAATAATAACTGCTTATCGTCGTGTCTGACAGTGAGAAATCAAACCTCTGCCAACGCCACGACCGGTAATTTGTGAAACCTTTCAGTTTTTATACAGTCCGATATTCGGTTTCGGTGTACGTGAGAGAGGAAGAGAAGTAAGTCGCAGCAATTGTTTTCAAGTTGATGGAGAGTGGGTCCATTGCTGGTTCATTCTACCATCCAAAGTCCTCCTTAGTAGCGGCTAGCGAGACGTAGATTTGCCAACAGATTGCTGTCTAGTTTGAATATAGCTGGAAGCGATGTTTGAGGCAGATAATATATGTCACGCGCATCACTAGGCTCAGGCACACCCATCAACTACCCTTTCCCCCCTTCCCTCCATGTCGACAGCGACGCCCTACTCCCAGGACGACGACCGGCCCGCCCAGTACACCTTCGAGACAGAGTACGACGATGACGATGAGAGCAGCGCAGAGGATGTCTTTGCCTTTCTCCCTCCGAATACCGCCGATTCCCAAAGACACGAATATCCGCCACTCGAGTACCCAGCTCCAACCTACGACCCGACAACACCAGTGAGGGTGTCACTACCGAGTACGGGGGAGAAGAGTGTTGTTCGGCCGGATTCATTTGCACCGTCAGTAACGGAGGAGGGCTCTATCAAGTGCGTACCCTTCTAGAGCTTGTTTCAATGCCCTTAACCCGACCAGGATGGAGTTTGACTTCGATGCCATTGAGGAGGAGGACTCGCCCTTCCCAGAGGTCCGAGCATCGGTGTCAAATATCGACGACCCAGACATGCCCGCAATGACCATACGAATGTGGTTCATTGGTCTGTTTCTCTGCACGATAGCAGGCTCTCTCAATGTATTTTTCAACTTCCGCTCACCCGCGCCATCTGTGGTCCCAATCGCCCTCCTCCTCATTGCCTACCCGTTTGGCAAATTTCTGGCCTTCGTTCTACCTATCACAACCTATCGAATTCGTTCAATCGAATTCTCATTAAACCCTGGCCCCTGGAACATCAAGGAACACGTTCTTGTCTTCATTATGGCAAACGTCGCGGTCGGAAGCCCTTACGCCCTCAACGCTGTTGTAGTGTCGGAGTCTTTCTATGACATCAAGGTATGTTCCTTTCCAGCGTCTCCTTTCGCTCCTTTCTCACGTTCATGTTAGGTCGGATACTGGTTCGCCCTTGTCTTAGTTCTCGCCACACAACTCACCGGCTTTGGGCTTGCTGGGATATGTCGACGTTTTCTCGTCTGGCCAGCGAGTATGGTCTGGCCCCAGAACCTTGTCGCGTGCACCCTTCTCAACACTCTCCACGCTGAAGACGATGAGGGAAGTGGTGGAATGACACGCTATCGATACTTCATGCTTGTCACCACAGCGAGCTTCTTTTGGTTCTTTTTACCTGGTTGGTGCATTTTTATCTCATCAAACTTCATCTTGACCTTTCACAGGCTTTCTGTTCGAGGCACTCTCCATCTTCTCGTGGGTCTGTTGGGCAGCACCAAACAACGTTCCGGTCAACCAACTCTTTGGAGTTTACTCTGGCCTTGGAATGAGTGTTGTGACATTCGACTGGACAGAAATCTCGTGGATAGGGTCACCGCTCATGGTCCCATGGTGGGCACAAGTCCACGTTTTCCTCGGATTCGTGCTCTTCTTCTGGATCCTCACCCCTGCACTCTATTATAGCAACACCTGGTATCTGGCCTACTTCCCGATCTCCGCCAATGTGCCTTACGACCGCTTTGGAAACCAGTACAATGTTTCCCGAGTTCTAACCGCTACCCACACGTTTAACGTGACAGCCTATGACGGATACAGTCCGCTCTACTTGCCTGCAACGTACACAGTGACCTACCTCCTCGCTTTCGCGTTGAGCACTTGTGTTATCGTCCACACTCTCCTCTATCACGGGCGCAGTCTGCTCAACGGCTTCAAGAAAATGCGCGTGGAAAGCGATGACATCCACGCCAAACTCATGCGCAATTACCCCGAAGTACCCGATTGGTGGTACCTTCTCGTTTTCTGCGTCTTCTTCAGTCTAGCGATCGTAGCTGTCGAGGCAAATCAAAGTCTTTACAACGTTTCGATCCAGGGCTGACCTTCGTTACCAGGTTTGGCACACTCAGGTCCCCGTCTGGGCTTTATTGCTCTCAGTCGCCCTTCCCATCATCTACATCTTACCATCAGGCTTCATATATGCTATGACCGGGACCGAGGTGAGCAGCCATTAGCTAGCAGTGATACATGAAGTATTTAATGCTCACACCCACAGATCACACTCAATATCCTAGCTCAGATCATCCCAGGCTCGTTGCTTCCTGGAAACCCTCTCGCCAACATGGTTCGATCTGCCGCTTTTTGCCTTGGATCAATGCCTCAATATTATTGCAGGTTTTCAAGGCCTACTCGGTTCAAACGCTGACAGAAGCGACATCATTTATTCAAGACCTCAAGCTCGGGCATTATATTAAGGTTCCTCCGCGAGCCTCGTTTTTGGTTCAACTCGTGGGCACCCTTGTTGCAGCATTCCTCCAAGTTGGAGTTAAGACATGGATTTTCGCCAACGTTGAAGATATTTGCCAGCCTGGGCAAAAATCACAACTTGTTTGCCCACACAATCAAGTGTTCTTTACCGCATCTGCTATTTGGTGTGTTCTTTTTCCATCCGTGATATTTCGATTTGACCTTGGAGCTAGGGGTCTTATCGGACCCGTACGACAATTTGGACCAAGCTCTATCTACCACACACATCTATATGCCCTTGCTATTGGCGCAGTCTTACCACTTCCTTTCTGGTTTTGGCAACGTCGTTACCCAAACAGCTGGATCAAGTATATCAGCACGCCAGTTATTCTCAACGGTGTGTCTGGTATTCCACCAGCGACCGGCATCAATTATTCAGCGTGGTTTGCGGTCGGTGCTTTGTTCCAAGTATGTGACCCGCTCGTCAACTCTAACTTGCCTGCTCACATCATCTGGGTAGTATTTCATCCGTAAAAGGAATTTTGCATGGTGGAGTAAGTTTAACTATGTGACGAGTGCCGCTCTGGATAGTGGTATGTGGTCTACGCTTTTTTTCAAGAAAGAGCTAACGCGGCGCCACAGGAACGGTTATTTCATTGATGGTCATTTTCTTCACGCTACAATTTCCGAGGGATGGGAAGATCAGCGTAAATTGGTGGGGGAATAGTGTGTACAAGCATAGTAAGCATATTTCGAGTTGGTACTGGGTGTCAGATCCTAACTGAGGCACTTAGCGGCCGACTACAATAGGGCGCCATGGAAGAAAGCTCCTGCAGGCGGGATTCCACTTGCGAACCCACCACCATAGCGAGCATCAACTGGACGATCTATTCGCGGAGGTCTCCGCTACGCATCTCAACGACGACTTCTTCTATCTACTGCTACCATCATATCTAGTAATCCCTCATTTTGGTTACGCGCTCCACACATTCGTTTTGTCTCGTCGAGCATCGCGATTCCCCCCCACACATCCTCAATGTCGATTGTCATGCGTCTGCACCCTCCAACATTAGAGATTATTCCTTTCTCCTTTCGGTGGTGGTACCTTTCTCTGTCTCTTGTAGTTTATAGCTGGAATGCAACAAAATAAAGGGCCTACCCCAATGTTGACAAACAAATGTGACCGTTGTGACACATGCCCTTCGGTGGACAAACATCATGCAGATTCGCAACAGTCTCAGTAGAGGTCGCACGGCCGTCACCAGCAGCCTTCCTCTGGCTGGCACAAGCGTGAAGAATGGAAACGCCTCCAAAGCTATCCCAAGACACTCAAAAGGAGGATATAGTGGCCGAGAATGACACTGTCTCTCGCGACTGGAAGTTCTGGGCCATTATCGTGTCTCTTGCAATCAGCCAGATGCTCACTGCTATCTAGTTTGTGAGCCGCTCTTTGTTGCCGTCGCACGTCCTGACGATGTTGTAGACTTCTGTGGGAACTGCACTTCCTGTGATAGCGGAAGAGTTGCATGGAAACAACTATATCTGGTCAAGATGGTCATATTTCCTGGGCGTGGCTAAAATAAGCGCAGGATTGGATCAGCATACACACTCTCGTCAACGGCTTTGTTGCCGTTTTGTGGTGGCTTGGCGCAGATACTGGGGCGAAGAACCGTTATGCTCGCCTCGATTCTGATATTCATGGTCGGCAGCGCACTCTGCGGTGCTGCAACTAGCATGAACTTCCTCATCGCCGGCCGAAGTGTGTCATCCAGCTTTCTCCGCCTTTTAAATAATAATGCTCAATATTCCGGGCAGCTGTTCAAGGCCTTGGCTCGGGAGGAATCGTCTCCCTCATCCAGATCATCATTTCCGACCTCGTCACTCTGAAAGACCGTGGAGCCTTCAATGGTATCACTTCGATGGCGTATGGTATCGGTGCTGGCGCTGGGCCAGTGATTGGCGGAGCCCTCGCGCAACGCGGTCAATGGAGATGGCTTTTCTACATGAACTTGCCTATTGGCGGATTCTGTGGTCTCCTCATCGCGATTTTTGTACGCCTCAAGACTCCAAGAACCCCTTTGAAAGAAAAACTGCAAAAGTTGGACTTTATGTGCGGCGCAAAGCATTGTTAAGTATACCTCTTGTCTGATCATTACAATAGTGGAAACGCACTCATTGTTGCCTCCACAGCATCCGTGGTCATTGCACTGACGTGGGGTGGAACAGTCTTTTCATGGAATTCAACGAAAGTACGTCTGCTTCGACTGTTACTAATATTCACTGAACGAATCGTCAGGTTCTTTTACCACTTGTCATCGGATTTGCTGGCCTTGGCGCATTTGTGGTATACGAGACTCTCGTTCCCAAGTATCCCATAATACCACTCTCACTCATGAATACTCGAACGGCCACGAGTGGTTACTTCCAAAACTTTATCTGTGCACTGATTCTCGCTGCTGTTGCCTGTACGCACTCCCAGTTCCTCGTATGGATTTTTAACTGATCATGCAAAGATTGGCTGCCAGTCTACTTCCAAGCATGCAAGTCCGCAGGGCCCACCGCTTCTGGCGTTGATGTTTTCGGCATCACATTTACCGTTGCCCCCATGTCGGCTGTTACAGGGGTCCTCGTCAACAAAACCGGCCGCTATCGACCCCAAATGTGGCTCGGCTGGACGCTTGTTATCCTCGGTGCCGCTTTGCTGGCTACTGTTGACGAAGACGCTAGCCGCGGCAAAGCGATCGGATACCAAATTATGCTAGGTTCTGGTATTGGTCTAACCTTCGTCGGCACATACTTCCCCGTCCTGGCCCCGATAGACGTCAAACTCAACGCACAGGCTTTGGCTTATTTCTTCTTTTTGAGGCAGTTTGCCCTGGTCAGTTTCCGAGGAACACATTTTCATGCTGGCATTTTGAACGTCAACTACAGATATGGGGCATCACCATTGGGGGCACCATCCTTCAAAATAAACTCACCGCTTCGCTGCCCTCCGAATTTGTGTCCCAGTTTCCCGGCGGAACACAGATTGCGTTTGGCATCATTCCGTCCATCGGGAGTCTGTCCCCCGAACTTCGCGATCAAGTACGAGCATCGTTTGCCAGGGCTTTCAAGCTGTTGTGGAACGTGATGGCCGCTATCGGTGGGGGAGGACTGTTGATCAGCTTTGTAATGAAAGGACTGCCGTTGCATACGCAGGTGGACAAAGCTTGGGGAAGGAAAGATGCGGTCCCCTCCGGAGAGGACAATTCAAAAGAGGCGTGAACAGACGAAACTACTTTAGACGTGAGCGCCATCATAGAGCACGGAAAATTTTGTTGACAATCCGCAACAGTTGCGTAAACGCTGCGCGATGCGGGAGTTGCCTCCTCATACTCAAGCCGTGCCTTTTCTTGACAATATGGACTAAGAGCGGTTCGGGAGCATGTATACTCGGCAACGCCCGATCACTACCTCGCAACTTATAAGTGGTTCGGAATACCTCGCAGCATTCCTTCTACCTTCGATGGCGACTGAGTCGCCAGCCCATTCCCAGTTTGTGGACCATGATTTACTGCGTCAATGCCTTACGCCGTCATGGTACACGCTGATTGTCTATGCGGTTTGCGTTGTCTCGACGCTGGTATATGTGCAGGCACCTCTCGCCTACTGCATCAATGGCGCATATGTGTTCCTCGCAATCGGACATATTCTGAAACCGCTCGTCGTGTCCATTACAAACGCATTGCTCAACCTGGCTGGCCTCAGCAACGCCTCAATCGTCCAATATCTGCCTCCAGTTGAATTCCGGACACAAATCGTCGCCAAATCGATTGTTGCAGCCCTCGTTCTTCCTGCTTCTGTGCTTGCAGTCATCGGCTGGCAAGACGCCATGTTGTGGCACGGGTCGCTCTTCCATGGCGCGATCTGGTTGATCGTATTCGGTGCAAAGTATATGCTCACGTATCAGGTGCTTGGTTATGTTGGCTTGACGGTGTTAGTGCTGGCACCACCGCTCCTCCTGCGGTATCAGGTTAGGGCCGCTTGGGCTTTGAGCTATGCATCGCTGGGTTGCAAGGTTTTGCTGGTCCACGCCATGGTGCTGAACGTCCTCGGAAGGCAACACCTGCGGATATGGTCTTTCGTCTGGCTTGGTGACCACCTGCGCTGGCAGGCGAGCGTTGTGGCCCCGACCAGCGTTGGCCTGGGAACATTTGTATTCTTTATGGAGGCATTTTCCGTGTTGAATACCGACATGTGCGACGGCTTTCTGCGCCGGGCTTTGTGCTTGCGACCAGCGAGCCTTTCGCGCATAAACGACGGCTACATACTACCACCCAGGTGGAAATATTCTTCTTTCGTCTCCGAATTTGGGCGGGCAGCACTCCTTTCAGCAATGCTGGTCCTCGCAGGGCTTTTCCTGGAGGAGGAGAACGAAGGCAGCGAGCTCCGCATATGGGGCCAGCTTATCGGCGCTGCGATGGCGCTCAGCGTGATTGTGCTGGCTGTCTCTGTCGGTTTCGGGCTGTTGATGGTCTCTGAATACATCGCCCCTTCTTTGGCCGGCACTGTCGACTCATTCTTTATTTGCGCTGGGGTGTTTGTGCTGACGAGCCAAAACGGACATTCATTCCTGGCAACACTGGCTCAGGTGGAGCGGGAGATGGGAGAGAAGGAAGCTGAGGAGAGGGAGGAGTCTAAATTAGAATGGCAGCCTGAGGGCCCGGGGGGAACACAATTTTATTGCATCATAAGTTAGCAGAACCCCGAAGAATGCCTTTATACTCAGTGATAGGTACTAGTATACTTAGTTGAGAGCTGCTAGTACTACTTATACTTAGATGATGAACTCGCGACAGCAATAGACTCACAATTGTGCACTGTGGCTTAAAGAGGCACGGGAAAAACACTACATAATTTCATGTTCACTGCATGATAAAAGCAGATTGACTCTGATCAAGTAAGTACTCCCACCGGCTCCCCCGCTGTGCACGTGACTGAACAAGCTTTGAAATTGTTTGGAATTGACCAGCTGCGTGCGACGGACTCCGGCGTTCGCCAGCCGGACCGTGCTGTGCTTTATCCAATCTAATGCAACTTGCGCCACAGCAATGAATGAATATCTGGTCCAATAACGCTCGTAAATCAACAAGACGACCTCGGTGCGACGGTGCCCGACGCGTAGGACTCGGTAGGAGTACAAGAAATGTAGAGGTAATCGAAAAAAAAATTAGCATACTTAACTTCAAGGCACAGCTCAACTTTTCGGAAACTCGCTGACTTGCTACCAACTCGACTCATTCTACGTATTTCCGTACTTGATCTAATATCAACTATTCCATGCCTTCATAGCAAAACTATGCTTCAAAAGTTCCCCCGCAGTCGGTCTCTTCGTATGGTCCAACTGCAAACACGCGCGGATAAAGTCCGCGCTCTCCTTGATATCCTCCTCTGCTAAACCGGAAATGTTGTAGTTCTGCATCGCCTGCTCAATCGACACCGGTATCAGCTCCGGAATACGGACGAGGGCGCCTGTCGAGTAATGTCAGCACTTGTTAGAACAAAGACGGATGAATTTGCCTTGCGAATCGAAGTACTCTGCTCCTTTTTTGGCCCGCACGAGGACGTCAGCGGAGAAGCGCTGGCCAGTCAGCTCCTGCATCTTAGCAAGATGGTCTTCCTCTATTGTCCAGTCGTCTCCGCCATCTTCGGGATGGAAGAGCCATCGTCCAACAAGGAGCTCGAATGTCTGATGGAATGTCAAACGAGCAAGTGTGAACATGAAGTATCTCACCAGACATCCAACGGACCATATATCAATCGCCGTTCCAAACCCAGACGAGAGCAGAACTTCTGGTGGGCGGAGAGAGAGAGGGCAGAAGTTCTCGCCAAGCGGCGTGCCTTCTGACCATTCCGCTGGGAACCTGGCATCAGACGGATATAGCATCCAAGTGCAAGCGCACCGTGGCCGTAATCGATGAGCGAGACCGTCATTTTCTCAGCTTCGAATGCAGAAGTGTCGTATGTCCAGCTGTGAGGAATGGGTTGTGGCTCAGGATTGCTCAGTTGCACAGGGTACTGTTGGAGATACTTGTCGAGGTTGGCGTCAAGGAAGAAGCGGTCATTGCTGAAAAGAATATTGTCGAGCTTGACGTCGGTGTGGACAATTTCAAGGTTGTGCAAGACACCAAGGGCATGAAGGGTCATATAGATGATGCTGCGCACCATATAGACTGGAAGACATTTGGTCGGGGCGGAACGGCGCAAAGCAGAGACAGAAGTGCTGTATAGTGACAAAATGAGGCAAAGGTGGGGTCCTTCGTTGAAGCTGTCGAACAGTGCAGGTAGATAGCCAAGTCCCTCGTCATCGTCCACTTTGTCAGCATAGTCGTTTATGGATTGCAGGAACTCGCGTTCGCGTGCTGGCCCGTTGGGCTCAGCAGTAGCTTCAGCGCTGAGAATTTTGGCAGCAAAGTACTTCTTCGTGCTGATAAAAATGCCTGAATAGTGAACAAGCTGATGAAGACGACAGCTACACACCTCCCAGTTGCTGTGGAGTCGCGCACCAGCCAGCTGACCGCCGTGATTCCCTCCCCCAACTTCCTCAACAGTGTGTATCGTTCATTTTTCAGTGTTGCACCAAGCTGTGGGTTATAGTGGGTGGAGGCCATTACACGTCTGGCTGTGCAGACTGATTTCGCCGGAGTATAAGAATGGTGCGTGAGATGGCGGCGCGAGGAGATGGAAGTTGAGTGGACAATAATAGTGTGGGTCAAGTGTGGCCCAGTCTTTCTCATTGCCGTGATGTAAGAATTGCCAGCGGCTATGAGGGTTCATTTGTACAAAAAATAATTTCCGCGCGCGCACATGATTTCCGCGCACAGAAATTTGGTCAAAATTTGGTAAGTTACACAAGTACATAACTCTATAATAAGACCGCCCAGTCCACTGCTATGGCTGCTGTCCACTGGGAGGCAGCGCAAGAGGGAGGTAGGCGGGTGCTAGTGGTCTAGGATCGGGTGTAAGGTCGTGGTCGTCATGGCTCGTGGCCGTTAGCAAACGGCCCCAGGGCCCAAGCGAACGGCCTCAGGCAACGTCCTTGCAACGTCCGCCGTCGAGTGTGATGTGGCCGGAGGAGAAGGGCCGATGTGACAAGCAAATAAAATGTCACACTCCCCAGACTACAGATGAGGTTAGCGCCGAGCAGAGAAATATAGACATACTTACTCAGTTCTCTTGCCGTCTTTGGAAGCCTGAATCAGTACACTTTCTTCTCTGAAGGTGGTCCTTTTGCTGAGCGTAGTACTTGAAAGTCGGATCAATTTGGCCCAGCCGATGACGTAGCCTGAGGACTGTCCATAGCCGATGGCCGCGCACCGTCCATTAAAACTTGGGGGCAAGCTTGGAAACAGCACTGAGACCGCATGCTATGGCCAAAGTATCAACGAGTTAATGGCCAGTTTGGGCTGGTTTTCCAATTGTAGGGCAAAATGGGACAAAAGATGATGTGCGCGCGCGCGGAAATCATTTTTTGTACAAACGAACCCTCATAGCGGCGGCTAAAGCTCCTGGTCTGACGTTTTGCAGGATTGGCGCGCAGGCTGAGCTCAGTTGCGCCAGGTTGCGCCTACCAGAAATTTAAACTCTCCGACTTCTTTTGCAAGGGGGGTTCAAGATCCTTATCAGGCACATGGGGTAGGGGGGAGGGGGGGTCCCCGGGGGGTAAAAAAAAACTTTTTATATATAAAAGATTTGGGCCTTATATGGGTGTAAAGACACTGAAAATATAGTGTATACACTCTCATTTCTATAGTTCACAACCCCCATACTTATATCTATATACTTTCAGGCCCATGAGCCTGGATAGTACACCCTATCACAGGCCCATCACCCATCATCAGGTAATGGATGAGAGGTGAACATATTGAACAGTGATATGGCCTGCCATGTGTATTTAAGGGTTCCAGGTATATAGATACCTACACACATACATATACAAATATATAATTTTTTTTGAAAAACAAAGTTTCACAAAGATTAAATTTTTATGCCAATTTTTTTTGATCGCATCAGTGGTCACATGATGCTAATTGTGGGAACATATTACCCTATATGGCAGGAGGGGGGGAGGGGGGGTCCCCGGAGGGTCGGAAAAAAACTTTCCGACCCTATATCCGTGATTCGGATCTTGAACCCCCCTTGTTCTTTTGTAATCTAAGTTTCATCAAACTTATGTAACCAGACCACCGACTCGGATCGAAACTCGTACAAGCAGAACACCAGTGTACCACTACTAGATCTTCCGTAGAAGAATCTGTGACGCTCAGCAAGACCGTAATTTCAACCAACCATCGTGGACCAGCAGTTCTGATCATATTTATAGAGCCATGACAAGCGTCTTCCTGAATCACTGGCATGGGCATACCCATGGCATGCCCATGGGTACGTGCACAGGATCAGAGTCGGTCTCGGCATAGCGCTCACTGAACTCAATTGAACCAGACGCTGCAAACTCTGTAGTCTGTACCCGTTGCGATATGCTTCCATTTCCGAGTATCTTGAAGTTTTGCAGCTCCAGTGGCAGCAACCCTCTTGATTGGCCATGGAAACTCGGCGACCATGATCTGATAGTTGGATCCGAACTTCAAGTCAAAGGAACGGTATCACAGATGCACTGCTATCTTCTCAAGCTCTGAGGAGTTAAGACCTCTGGAAGTGACAGTATCACTGTTAACACTGTACTGTACACGTATCCTGCCTCTTCCATTTCCAAGTATCATGTAGCTTAATTTGGTCCTCAGGCTTTAGTGCGCCGTCATTCTCAAGGTAGACATACTTAAACAACTGCAGACAAGTTAGTAACCGTCTGTCCGAGATGGCTTCTATCCCCATCAAATGGTCAAGCGCCGCTGAGAACGACATTGCGCAGATGACCGCAGCACAATTCGGAGGGACAGACCCCCGCGTCTACCATGAATATTTGGTGCAACAGTACTGGAGCAGCTACAAGACGTATCCCTCTATCAGCCAGGCTACTGTGGCGCGTCTACGGTGAGCATCATCGCTGTTCGCCACATCGATCAGACTGGCTTACAGCCTACCTGAAGACGGGGAGCACATGTGGGCGGCTCAGACCCCAATGCACCCGACCATATCACTGTGGCGTTCGAATGGAAACGCGAGAAATATACCGTGCACATCCCTACTGGCCGTTGAGTCACGGCGGGCGACGCAGACTAATGCTTGCTTGAGCAATCTATATTTCAAACTTGAATGCTAAGAACCCAATTTGAGTATTTCAATCGCACAACCAAGCCTTCTTTGCGAAACTATACTTGAGCAGCTCTTCCGCCGTGAATCGCCGCCTGTCATCCAGCTGCAAACACGCCTGGATGAACTCTGCACTCTCTTTGATATCTTCCTCCGCCAAACCAGCGATGTTGTGGTCTCGTATCTTCTGCTCGATGGAAAGTGGTGTGTGCTTTGGAATGCGCCGGCGGAGGAGGTTGCCTGTCAAGATGTTTTTAGAGACACGAAAGAAAGATAGGTAATATTACCTTGAGCATCAAAGTACTTTGCTCCGTTTTTGGCACGGGAAAGGACATCGGCAGAAAATCGCTGGCCGGTCAGGTCTTGCATCTGGGCAAGAAGATCATCCTCCAATGTATAGCCGTCTCCTCCGTCTTCTGGATGGAAGAGACACTGTCCAACAAGAAGCTCGAATGTCTGCACGAATGTTAGATGGGAAAGTTGGGGCGTGGGATGGCTGACCAAGCATCCGACAGCCCATATATCAACTGCGGGTCCAAAGCCAGACGAGAGGAGGACTTCTGGTGGGCGGAGGGCGGGCGGGCAGCAAGTCGTACCAGATAGAACGCCGTCTGACGATTGGGCTGGGGGAATTTCATTGAAAACAGGACACCATCCAAGTCTAAGAACCCACCATGCGAGTAGTCGACAAGCGCGACCGTGATCAGCTCCGCCTGGAACGCTGAGCTGTTGTACGCAAAATCGTGTGGAAGCGGCTGGGGCCGACCCTCGAGTTGCGATGGATAGTCGTCGAGGTATTTTTCAAGTTTGCTCGTGTCTGAGAAGCGAGCGCCGGTAAAGAGGATATTCTCGGCCTTGACATCGGCATGGATAATCTTGAGGTCGTGCAGCGAGACAAGCGCGTGGAGCGTCATATGAACTACGCTGCGCACCATGTAGACTGGGAGGCATTTGTTTGGCGCGGAGTGGCGAAGGGCGGAGACAGAAGTGCTATATAACGCCATTATAAGGCAGAGTTGTGCGCCTTCGTCGAAACTGTCGAAGAGCACGGGGGCATAATCCAGTCCTTCTTCCATGGGATGTTTATCGCCGTGAACCTTGATGGTCTGCAGGAAACCCCGTTCGCGCGAGGGCCCGTTGGGCTCCGCGGTAGCTTCGACGGTGAGAATCTTGGCAGCGAGATACTCGATGCCTTGGCTGGAGAGAAATGAGTCATGAAACATTGGGTGAGGACAACACCACCTACTGCTTCACGAGCGATGAATCATAAACCAGCCAGGTCGTTGCTGTCGTTCCCTCGCCCAGTTTCCGCAGCACCACGTATCGTCCATTTTTCAGCGTCGCACCGGGTTGGGGGTTATAATGGGTGGTCATCCAGGATGTGGCACTGGAGTATGTGAAGCCTTGACTCCGAGGCACGAATGACTCGGATAGAAAATCCTGGTCGATGTCAACATGATCGCCGTGGCCGTGACGACGTGACGTGAGATGACTCGGCTTACATACACTTACACCAAGCTTACACCAGAAGAGAGAGAGAGAGAGAGAGAGAGAAAATATTCAATTAGTTCGACTTGTCGGAAAACCGCTGACTTGTTCCCACCTCGATTTATTTCGAGTCCGATACTTGATCTTAATCCCATACACTGCTGTGTATCCGCCAAGTATCCGCTACATTTTTCTTCTTCCATTTCCAAGTAGCATTGAGCTCCAAGTCGATCCGGCCCTCTAGTGCGTTAACGGTCCACATAATCTTGACCTGGAAACGAACAAGTAACCCGGCACCGTGACCACAACCCAGAGGGATGAAATTGCCATCAAATGGTCGAGCGTGGCTGAGAACGACAACACAGGGATGACCGCAGAGCAGTTTGGTACTCAACACTGTTCGCCGTGGAGTTACAATGCTTGCTGGTTCATGTCATCACTTTTTCACTGGCATTTTGCATATCCATAATCAGCCTGATTGTTTGGTTCTAGAGTCTAGACAGCAGATTCGGATTGAGTATTTCAATGGCACAACCAAGCCTTTTTAGCGAAACTATACTCGAGCAGCTCTTCTGCCGTGGGTCTCTTCCTGTCATCCAGCTCTAAACACGCCCGAATGAAGTCTGCGCTCTCTTGGATATCTTCCTCTGCCAAACCGGGGATGTTGTAGTTTCGCATCGCCTGCTCGATCGACACTGGAATCAGCTCTGGGATGCGGGCAAGATGGCCTATTGATTGTCAGCATATCTCTTGTCAGAGAAAACAGAACAGAATACCGTTTGGATTCAAATACTTGACTCCATTTTTCGCACGTGTGAGAACGTCAGCAGTGAAGTGCTGGCCGGTCAGCTGTTGCATTTTGGCAAGATGATCCTCTTCATTGGTCCAGTCGTCGCCATCGTCCTCTGGATGGAAGAGACGGCGGCCGACAAGAAGCTCGAATGCCTAGAATTGATATATAAATGACGCAGCAGTACATTTATTTTGGAAAAGGTACCAGACATCCGATGGCCCATATATCAACCGCGGTTCCAAAGCCATACGAGAGTATAACCTCTGGCGGGCGGAGGGCGGGTGGGCATAAAGTCGTACGAGACGGTGTGCGGTTTAACCATTCGGCTGGAAATATAATATTAAATTGATAATGTAGTGTTCACCTCAACATACCGTGGCCGAAACCGATCAGCCTGAAACGCAGAACTGTTGTATGCAAAGTCGTGCGGAAGAGGCTGAGGGGTATCGAATTGCGCATGGTGTTGCTGGAGGTACTTTTCGAGGTCGGGCACGAAGGAGAAGCGCGCGTTGGTAAAGAGGATGTTGTCGGGCCGAACATCGGTATGGACAATTTTGAGGTTGTGCAGCAATTGAAGGGCATGGAGCGTCATATGGATAATACTGCGCACCATATAGACAGGAAGACACTTGTGGGGTCCGGAGTGGCAAAGAGAAGCGACTGAGGTACTGTACAATGGTAAGATGAGACAGAGGTGGGGTCCCTCGTTGAAGCTGTCGCAAAGATCGGGTACATAGTCATGCCCCTCTTGCTCGCTGGAGTCTGCGATGGCTTGGAGCATATCGCGCTCGCGGGCTGGCCCATGAGGCTCAGCTGTGGCTTCAGCGCTGAGAATTTTGGCAGCGAAATATCGGAGTCGACTAGAGAGAGAGAGATGAATGACGAGGCGTTGTGTGGACAAAACCACTCACTTGTCCGTTATCGACTTATCATTCACCAACCAGGTCACCGCTGTGATTCCCTCGCCCAGCTTCCGCAGAACTGCGTATCTTCCATTCTTGAGCGTCGCTCCAGCTGTCGGGTGATAATGGGTGTTCATCTCTCAGAGTACTTAGAATGACTCAAAATAGGAGTGGTGTGACACTTGTTTAGCAGTGTTAACACTAAATAAAGATGCTTGAATGACGAACGGTTCAATGAAGACGACAGCCATATACCTCCCAGTTGCTGTAGAGTCGCGCGCCAGCCAGCTGACCGCCGTGATTCCCAACTTCCTCAACAGCCTCAGTGTGTGTATCGTTCATTTTTTTTAGTGTTGCCCCGAGTTACGGGTTATAGTGGGTGGAAGTCATTCGACGTCTGGCTGTGCATGTGAGATCTCAGATGTCGCCAGAGTGCAAGAATGGTGCGTGAGATGTGGCACGGGGAGAGATGGAAGTTGAGTGGGGGTTGAGTGCCGTGATGTGACACGCCAGCGAATCGCCATTGGCGACCAAGGCTACCGGTCTGACGCTTTGCAGCATTGACGCGCAGGCTGATGTCAGTTGCGCCTACCAGAAGCTCTCTGTCGCCGGCGTTCTTTCGTGAGTCAAGTTGGTGGTCCATGATGCTGAATTTAGAGTCATCTAATCTAATCAGATCACTGGCCGAAACTCGCTCCTTCCGTCACTGCCAGTCAGAGACATCTTCCAGGGAAGAATGTGCCAGTGGCGCTCAGCAAGACCGTAATTTCAACAAGGTCCATGCGGACCAGCATCTCTGCTCATATTATTAGAGCCTCAGGCGTCTTTCTGAATTATGACGCTCACTGAACTCAATTGAACCAGACGCTGCAAGCTCTGTACCCGTTGCGATATGCTTCCATTTCCGAGTATCATCTACCCATCGCTGTCCAGTGGCTATTATTGCCCATCTCTGCGGTATAAAAGATACCCAGTCGTCTAGCCAAACTCAGTACCACTGATGTCGTCCGGAAAAATCACCGTCGTCTGGTCGCAAGCCGCTGAAAATGACATTGCGGGCAAAACTGCTGCCGACTTCGGCGGTGTTGACCCAAAAACCTTCCATGAAAACAAAGTCCAGGAGCACTGGAACGCAAACAAGACCGATGCCACGATCTCGAATGCAGACAAGGCTCGTATTCGGCGAGCAGCTTTTTCTACATTGTTTGTTCAAAGCTGCTTACCCCACCGTACAGTCGCGGGGCACATACTGGGGGCTCAGTCGCCACCGAGCCAGACCACATTACTGTTTCCTACCGGAAGGGCTCGAAGGAGCTCGCCACGAAGCACGCCTACACCGGTCGTTGAGCAAGATATTTGTTAATCACTGTTGTACAATTTTATCGGATTGGTTGTTTTACGCTCCTGCAAACATTATGAGCCCTCTTCCGTTGTCCGTCCCGCCCGCGAGTGCCGCCAACCGCTTGAGCTGCGACGCCATTTCTCCCTTTGGCTTGTCGTCGACCCGCATGCGCCACAGCGGGTGGCGACTATGCGACTTGAGGGCAATCAGCACATCCAAGGTCTCAATGTTTGCCGCCCACGGGCATTTCCGTGCCCGTGCCGCCCAATGGCGCACTTTAGGAGAATTTCCCAGACAAATATATGCCTCCATGATGGCATTGATGGCGGCGTGGTACTGCGCCTCGCCCTCGAGCTTCTCCTGCTCTAGCAACGCCATTTGCTCGAGACACTTGTTGATGAGCCAGTCATCAGGCAAAGACCGGTTGACGGCCCACAACTGGACGGTTGGAACGAACGAGCGAATCTTGGCACGACGAGCGTCGGAGTTGACGGGGTCAAGACACGCATCACACGCGCAAACGAATCCGTATGGCTTGAAGGTCTGCTGGCGATTCGCTGCAGTGTCCCAGACGTCGGAATAAGCCAACGTCAGTTCTTCGCCTTCCGCAATGTCACGTGCTGCATAGATCGTATAGGAGATAGACGCGTCGTGGAAGTTGGTGCTCGTATTGGGACAGCAACTGTAAGAAGACTATCAGAGAAAGACGAAAATACGATAGGAAGACGTGCCTATTGTTCATGCGCGAAATAAAATGTGGGACAGAACTATACTGTGCCATTGGACCACTCATCTCAGGGCAGAGTCCATCCAGACCGATGCTATTCGTTCGGATTCGACCAGCTATAGGTCCCTTGCAACAGGACGAGTTAGTGCCGCAGAAGCAATGTGGGTGACAACTCACTGATCCATCGGTCGTATGGCTGTTTGCAAGGGACATGAAAGCATCCCGATCTGCAGGCCGCATTTCCTTCAAAACCACCTCTAGGTACTTCTCAAACTCTTTCAGCTGGTATTTTGTCGTCTGCTCCTGACTATACCAGATGGGCACTGCGACGGGCACCCCGCGAACGCTGATGAGCAATGGCCGCTCATCGATGATAAGCTCTCCTTGACCGAGAGCACGAGCAGCAAAAAGACCAAGCCCCTTGCTTCCCGCCTCTCCAACTCGGAACGTGGGTTTGGACACCGTGCGTAAGGGCTGAGGATAGCCCGGCATCTTCGTCAACACCTCTTTTGAGCCGGGCCAGAAGAAACAGACGGTGACGGGCTCATCGGGGCCTGCGTTTGCTGGCAGGACGACAATCTCGGTGGAAGAGAAATCGAGTGGGGCAGTTTCGCCTTGAAAATTGAATTATGAACACATTTTGACCACACAAAACACATACTACTGGCGCCATAGCCAAGGAGCGCGGCGGCACCGTCGAGAATACCTCGTATCATGGTGAGGGGACGTGAAAGACGAGAGGCGCGATGGCTGCTTCTTTTTGCGACCCATCTAGTGTCCACACATCTGACTTGGCTGGTTTCACACCTCTTCACATTGCTTGAAGTAGAGTTTTTGCTCAAACAAAGTATGGGTATGCTAGTTCAAAGCACAGTCGAGCAATATACTGCCAAGAACAAGTATTGTTGCACCTGCGGCCGTTGTGCAGGCGGCTGGCTGTCTCCCCGCATGCGTTTTCAGCTCGAGTGTGAGTATCCTTTCCGCGTCTTCGCTCCCACCATTTGATAGTGTCGATTTAGGTCAAGCGGTTTGTTTGCGCAAAAGTATGTCCTGACTCCATTTGAAGACTAAACAGTTTCAGCGCATATTTTAGTGGTGAAAACCATGACTGGGAGGACGAGAAGAGATGACATATACATGTATTCCATGAACAATACACTACGTCTCAGCGCCCAAGGCGACGCCTACTCCTTCTCTTCGTCTGCCCAGCAAATAGCTCCTGACCACAAACCTGTTGCCCATGCTCCAAAACAACCCCAATCCTGTCTTGCGCGGATGTTGATCGGAACTGATGTGTGACACGCTTGCGTTTCTCCGTCATGTTGACGACATGGACTAGCCCACCGTCTTTACGTGCGACCTTACGACAGTGCTTGGCAAGCTCCCCAAGCGTGTTCGCAACCCTCCCTCTGCGTGCTGCAGAGGCCAGTGTTGACCATTTGCTTCAACGAAACTTGAACACGCAAGACAGCCACATGCCGCCTGAAGTTCAACATTACTTTTTCCAGTGAATACTGTCAACAATGTCGCTTACGCTTAGAACTTACGCGCAATGTAACATCAAGTCACACTGTCGCCCTCTTTCCTCTCTCTACCACCACTGAAGTCCGTATTGCCCACTTCCACCCAGCGACGCCTCATTCAAGTTGCCTCTGGCACTACTGTGAGTTCGTTTCTGCTCCTTCTGCTCTCCTTTCCTCATCATCCTTGTGTAGCGCCGTTTGGGTGCCGCTCGTGACTGTCTTGACGCACTTGTAGTGTAGACCAGTTCCTGCAACCTTGTGAGGTCGTTTTTCACTCTGTTGACGGCGACTCGTACTCATAATCCTTGCAGCGCTGAGCGCCCTCCAGTTATGGCTTCACCAAATGCCTCAACGCGTAGCACTGGCGGTCCCGACTTGAGGGAATTCCTCTTGACAACGGTAAGTAATAATGCTTGAGGTATGGCTCAAGCAACGACGACTGACGAGACATATCATTAGACTTAGCGGGCTTTCGCGTCCGGTATCAGCCTCACCGCTTCAATCCCTTCATCACGCAGCCCTCTCGAAAAGCGCCTCCAACAAGCCTCCAATTCCATGCTAGCGGCGACATCCTAGCGCTGGCCAGCTCAGGTTCCAGACGGTGGCCATGGGTTCAGTCTCCCCGCCGCATTTACGCTCGTTGCAGTCGTCAAGTCTTGGCGCTCAACTAGCAACGCGCTCACTCGCGTGTCGCCCTGATTATTAGGACGGTAAGTAGCGTGTTTCAGAGCATAAACAACGACTCACAATGCACATTATCAGATTCGGCACGTCAACACATCAGTCGTGGCTGACAGTGCTGAGCTTGGGCCCGCTCTCGTGTCTGCGTGCTCTCATTCACGCCCCATGGTCTTCGGCTATGCCATACCAATACCCTTCACTCCCGCCGCCATATTCTTTCACCCCGCCGTCTCGACAGTCCACCATGATCTCGCACTAGCAAGAACCGCGCGGTGCTCTATATGTACCTGCCGTCCCACGCTCAACTGCACCCATGCCGATGCTTGCGACGAGCGCGTGTTGGCGGTCGGGGGTTCGGGCCGCCAACCAGCTGTCTATTCCCTTGACATTCGTCAAGTCCAGGCTCCCCATTCACCAACTTCATCAGCGGCCAGCGTCCGAGCCCAACTTGGGCATTGCACAACTCTTCTTTCCCCCACCATGGGCCATTTCCTCTTCCCCTCGACCTCGTCGTTAAACTCTCGGCGCCATTACTTCCCGCGTCTTCGAGCAAAGCTCAACGTCGCCATCATGGATAACTTCGAGTTGGCCTGGCCTTGACTTCGCAGATGGCTTGGCCGACCAATTTGGACATTGCAGTTGCGCACAACGCTTGTCCGCCCACCATCTCGCACGCTCATTTGTGATTCCCCGGCCCGGCCTGTCTCTCTCGGCGCGGCCATCTATCCCGCCTGTCCACCCCGACTCAAGCGCGAGACAGAATATCACACACGTTGTTCGACGCCACTTGAATTGAGGTAAGACTCGAAGTTGATATTGTGATTGTGCCCTTGCTGATTCCTTTCCAGAAGCGCTGTTCCCCCTGGCCCTTTCCTTGCACCACCTGATGTGACCGCTGCCAGCCCCTTCCCTTGTTGTTCAACATCGCGGTCCCACCCCAACGCGCCTTTTCTCGTCCACGATCCTTCTACGTCTTCGACATTCTTAGTCCCGCGACCACTGCCCCGCCCACGGCGTCAAGTGTATCAAAGTCGGGCGGCGACCAAGCCCGAGAATATCCTTCCCGAATATCGCACGCGTGGTATCCCGCTGCCTGCCCTCGGAAATCAGGTAAGACTCAAGTTTACATTCTGCTTGTGCTCTTGCTGACTCCTTTACAGAAGCGCTGCAAGCTATTCCCCCGGCCTTCTCTCTGCTTCCGGCCATCTCCCTCGACCGGCCTGTCGGCGCTAGCCGCCATCATTCGTGGCTTTACCTGGCTCGGGCCTGTCTCTGCGGCAACCATCCTGTCGACTGCCGCCATTGCCATCCCATCCCCGCCTTTTTCTGCCACCTTCCTGCGCTTCGGAGCAACCGACAGCGGCTATGATGATGTCCATTGACACGAGATGGATGTGATTGCAGGTCAGAGTGGACGGGTCGTCGAGCGGATCCGAACGAGAGGGCGCGCATAGGTCTCGGATGCGCCAGCTGCTCATGTGGAGGAGTACTCGCTTGGACAACGGACATTGACCAGCCGTAAGTCTATTCTCCCTGTGGTTTCTTGTGTGTTTGCTTATTTCTTGGTAGAGGTCCTGCACGCGCTGTCTTGGTCGTGATGACGGCAGCGGTGAGTCGTCCTTTTTTTTTTGTTGCCCTCGCTGCACTACCTTCGGGAGGGGAGACCACGCACCGACAGTGTAAGAACTGCAGAATGGGATTCTCTTCCCAGAAAACGCGTTGGAAGGTGTTAATTAACGCGTTTAAGCCACGAACCGGACACTGACCATTTTTCAGGGCCAAAATAAGAATCTGTGGAAGGAATGCTAACTGCGAATCTGTGAGATTTAGCGTCACGTGACCGCGTTTGGGAGCGGCGAGGCAGCGGCGGAGGAGCCTGCGTCGGAGCAGGAGCAGGAGCCGGCGGCGGAAGAAGATCCGAGGCATGCGGCGTGCGTGCCGAGATGCTTATATAGACAACATCACCGTTTCATACTGCAAGGGCTCGAAGGACGCCTACACCGGTCGTTGAGCAAGATAACACTGTTGTACAATTTATCAGATTTTACGCTCCTGCAAACATTATGAGCCCTCTTCCGTTGTCCGTCCCGCCCGCGAGTGCCGCCAACCGCTTGAGCTGCGACGCCATTTCTCCCTTTGGCTTGTCGCATGCGCCACAGCGGGTGGCGACCATGCGACTTGAGGGCAATCAGCACATCCAAGGTCTCAATACTTGCCGCCCACGGGCATTTCCGTGCCCGTGCCGCCCAATGGTGCACTTTAGGAGAATTTCCCAGACAGATATATGCCTCCATGATGGCATTGATGGCGGCGTGGTACTGCGCCTCGCCCTCGAGCTTCTCCTGCTCCAACAGCGCTATTTGCTCGAGACACTTGTTGATGAGCCAGTCATCAGGCAAAGACCGGTTGACGGCCCACAACTGGACGGTTGGAACGAACGAGCGAATCTTGGCACGACGAGCGTCGGAGTTGACGGGGTCAAGACACGCATCACACGCGCAAACGAATCCGTATGGCTTGAAGGTCTGCTGGCGATTCGCTGCAGTGTCCCAGACGTCGGAATAAGTCAACGTCAGTTCTTCGCCTTCCGCAATGTCACGTGCTGCATAGATCGTATAGGAGATAGACGCGTCGTGGAAGTTGGTGCTCGTATTGGGACAGCAACTGTAAGAGTATCAGAGAAAGATGATAGGACGCCGTGCCTATTGTTCATGCGCGAAATAAAATGTGGGACAGAACTATACTGTGCCATTGGACCGCTCATCTCAGGGCAGAGTCCATCCAGACCGATGCTATTCGTTCGGATTCTACCGGCTATAGGTCCCTTGCAACAAGACGAGTTAGTGTCACAGAAGAAATGTGGATGATATCTCACTGATCCATCGGTCGTATGGCTGTTTGCAAGGGACATGAAAGCATCCCGATCTGCAGGCCGCATTTCCTTCAAAACCACCTCTAGGTACTTCTCAAACTCTTTCAGCTGGTATTTTGTCGTCTGCTCCTGGCTATACCAGATGGGCACTGCGACGGGCACCCCGCGAACGCTGATGAGCAATGGCCGCTCATCGATGATAAGCTCTCCTTGACCGAGAGCACGAGCAGCAAAAAGACCAAGCCCCTTGCTTCCCGCCTCTCCAACTCGGAACGTGGGTTTGGACATCGTGCGTAAGGGCTGAGGATAGCCCGGCATCTTCGTCAACACCTCTTTTGAGCCGGGCCAGAAGAAACAGACGGTGACGGGCTCATCGGGGCCTGCGTTTGCTGGCAGGACGACAATCTCGGTGGAAGAGAAATCGAGTGGGGCAGCTTCGCCTTGAAAATTGAATTATGAACGCGTCCGACGCCGCCGCCGCTCCACCTGCATCCGCACGTTGATTCCCTCCGCTGTCCACCTCAACGCTTGACTCACCCATCGCAAAGGCTCGCAGCTCGCTAAGGCTCGCAGCTCGCGCTCTTATTTTATGCACCAAAAGACAAAATTTTTTACAGGTTATCCGACGTGTAAACAAGCTATCCGACGCGTACTACAAGTTCACAAAGGTACCCGACGCGTGCAGAGAAGAAAAAAACACGTAAAAAGAAGAAAAAAAACTACTATCCCCGTCTAGCTCCCCAGATCCATCGAGACGCGCTATCCCGATCCAAAGGCCAGGTCTTGGCGCGTCGGAGCTGGCTGCCGAGAATGGCGCCATTGCCAGGCAGCAGCCCAGTTGGCGCTGAGTACGCAGAAATCAAGCCCATGACCAGATTCAAGGCAGACCCTTCCTCCGCGTTGTAGCCCGGGTGCCCTGCCCAGCGTCACTTGCCGTCGTGACAGAGATTTGGCGGGCAAGTTCACGAGGGTTTGTCTGGACGCTAACGGCGCCCCAGCGAAAAAAAATGGGTGCTCCCCGGGCGAGTTTTGGCAAGCCCGGCCAGAAAAAATGGCAGTTAAAGCGCCGGTCAGTGCCAACGCGCCGCAGGCGAGCTCTCGCGAAAAATGGAGTGGTGCGAGGCAACTTTTGAAGGGAAAGTCGCGATGGGCGCTGCAGTCTCGGGAGGGGGGCCGCGCTCTCACCAGAGCAGCTTCAATGGCGCCGCAGGCGAGCTCCAGCGAAATATAACTGGTCCAGAGGCAAGTTTTGAAGGCAAGTTGGAAGTCGCAAGGAGACTGGACTGGGGACTTGCAACAATAGCAGTGAGAAGCGCCAGTTGCTGTCATGCAACTAAGTCCATCGTAAGCCGGCACGACGCGCGTGGCGTTTGACTCGTGACGCGCGGCAGGCGAGCTCCACCGAGAAATCAAAGGTGCGGAGGGGAGTTTTTTTGGGGGGAAAGGGATTGAACGCTCAACGACAGAAATTTGGCGCCGCAGGCCCGCTCTAGCTAAAAATGGCTGTTGCGGGGGCCAAATTGTGGGCATGAGCCCAGCGCGTTTGCAAGCAGGTGGACCCGCCGAAGGCGTTGACGACAGCGAGACCAAGCTGATGGACAAGGCAGCTAACGCTGCACTTTGGTCGTTGGTGATGATGTTTGGGGGAAAGAGTCGGCCGTGCTCGCCAACGCGGAGGCGCCGCGTTGCGCTGGTCGAAATAGATCGGTCCGTGGTGGTAGAGTTCTGCCCAGCCAGGTGCCGTGCCAGACGCGCGTTTGGTCGGGGTGGGCGCACAGTTAATCAGCGCGTTTGTCGTTGCCAACGGCGTTGTAGAGGGCATTTAAGACCAAGCGCCGGCGAGTTGAGGTCAGAGCAAATGCATAGTGACTTGGCGCTGGGGTAGTTGGCTCAATGTGCATGGTGGTAGGAAGGAAGGCCAATTCGGGCACGTGCCGCCGGCCCATGGCCCGGTAGGGGCCGCGGTCAAGACTGGCTCGTCTCGTAGTCGTTGGATGCGTCGCAGCCCACAATAGAAGACGGGGGCGTCGGAGTCAAGGTGTGGGGACAAGGCCCTCGCGTCGTTAGAGAGTTTGGCGTGGTGGGAAGATGAAGGCCGGTTCGGGCACGTGCCGCCGGGTCGGAGCCGCGGTCAAGACCGGGGAAGCCCGGCGTTGTCGACTGGAAGCCGCAGAGCCCTTGGGAATATGGCAGGTGGCGGAATCAACGCGGGGGGAAACGACGTGCCGCCGGCAGAGGTCGCGGTTGGCCGGAGTAGGGCCCATCGTTGAGGAAATTTGGGATGGGTGATGAATGGACTATGTGATAGTTTAAGCACTGGCACTGGGAAACAAAGAAAACCAGAGTGAAAACTCACAGTGGGGGGATTGGCAGCGCACTGCTGCCAATGATTGCGTTGAAAGTCCTCCTGTTTTTTTTCGCCTCCGGCGGCAAAATCCTGGAAAAAATGGCGTCTTGAATCATGTTTTTTGAGGTCCAAATGACGACCCGGAATCATCGGATAATCCGGTGATCGCATCAAAATTCGGTGATGGGAGCGATTTTTCGACGACAGGCGCAACACGTTGGGGACACTGAGATCAAGGTCAGTAATAGCACAATGGAGGGAAGGAGCAAGAGCTCACCATTATCAAAGACCACATGAGGGTCTCGGCATCGACACGCCTGTGCTAGATGCGGGGATAGCAGAATGCGTTGGGCAGGGTTGGTGAGGACAATGGCCACGAGAGGGAAGCCAGGGAGCAGAGCCCTGGCTCCGAGGCGTTGAAGTCCAGAGGGACGCTAGGCCTCCGGCCGTCAAAATCCTGGCGCAAAAGTGAGTTTTTTTAAGGCAAAGAGTGGGTCGGAAAGTGCTTACGTAAGCATCAATTGATTCATCATTTTATACCAATTTTCAGCAAGACTATCGCGTTCTGCGAAGCAAGTGAGTACATCAGCGAGATTCAGCAGGTGCGAGGCTCACTGATGCTGTGCCTCAGGCACAAGCCAAAGCCAGTGCCGCGCAGACAAGGCCGCAGATACAGGCGGTTACTACGGAAGCAATGCAATGTCGATGGGGCCATTGGCGCGTACGCGAAGACAGGGAGGGAAATGAGATGGTTATAATGCCGAAGACAAGTCTAAACATTGCAGTGAGTACTGATGCTTCAAATGCAGAGGCGGGGACTCGGACGTACGCAATGTGACAAGGCCTTCTCGCGCTCGTCGTTTGAGTGGTGTCCTCAAATGCGGGAACAAGTGCCGTGACTCGCCCACTCGCACTTGTTGCTGATGGCAGAAGCGCTCGAGATACCGCCAGTTGCACGGAAGCCAAGTCGCGAGAGCAGCAGTTGTCGTGCTGCTAAGAGAAAAAAGCTGAGGCCAAGAGCCTCAGCACGAAGACTTCCTCGTTGCATAGAGTCAAGACTGTGGGTGGCTTGTAAGCAAAATTATCAACAAAACCGCAGCAGGGAACACACATCTTGTAGGTCGTCTGGGAATTGAGGGGACGGTGGTGGTTGACAGCAGTCGAGATGGCAGCAACGCAGCCGCCAAGGCCGCGTGAAGCTGTTGATGCGAGCAGCGCGGCCGCCAAGGCGACAGTACAGTGATGCTGTCGATGGCGCTCGCGGCAGCCAACGCAAACTCTGGGGGGAATTAGCACAATACCAAAGACGAATGTGGCAGCACGTACAGGGCACTCGAAGGCCGACATCACGCAACACGACGCCGACTGAGAGACATAGTTGGTGGGTTTGCTGGGCAGCAGGCGCAACGTCTTGGTGGGTGACTTTGCAAAGGGCTCGTTGTGAAGTTTGCGGGGCGGCGGGGGCAGGGAGGAAGACAAGGGAAGGAGAGGGAGGTGGTGGTTATGAGCAAACCCTAGACAAAGTGTGACGCTGGAAAAAAATTGCCGTCAGATGGGCACGCGTCGCAACGCGTTGTTGACTTGGTCATGACAGTGGGAAGAAAAAGTGTGACAAGGCGTGACGAGTCCGATGGCCAAGGAAAATTTTAAAAAATAATGGCGCCATGTCGGCGGCGCGCGTAAGAAGTTCCTGAGTCATCAGGGGCAATTCCCCGAGTCAGGTCGCAAGCGAGGTTCCTGTGTGACGCAGACAGCGGCAAGCGCAGGGGTAATACGACAAGTAATGTCGGCTACCCATGACTATCGTGGAATCCTCGCTTGGCTGGCTTTTGCCCTTATGCCGTCTGCGCACTTTTGTTCGAGTGTGTCATTTTTCTAGCCCATCGCCTCATTTTTTGCCCTGCAACCATCACCCCAAAAATGTTCGTCACATCCCACCCTGCATCCAGGTCTGCTCTCTGGAATTTTTTCAGTGCTTTTCTGAGCGCCACACACAGGGTATCCCAAAAAGGGAATGAGCACAACAATTGCTCGTTGCACTGTACTCTGCCCGGGATCGGCAGACCCCGAAGCGTGGGAAACATTGTTGAATACACATCAGTACTATCTACGTCTTCATCGCCGCTATCCAGCGTCTTGTACCCTCTGTATTCACTGCAAAGCTCTCTATGCTGATAATACTGTGTCCGCTCATCGCCATTTCCGATTGTGCCGAGTGTGTGAGAACATTATGTTACCATCACCCCTGACCCATCACCGCGAGGATCGGACGGGAAGCGCAACGCCGCGCGTACTGTTTCCTTGGAACTTCACAAATACGCGATTTTCAGTCGCATGGTGTCCACTCCCGCCCCAACGGATCAATATCACGCTGGGAAACCTTTCGGAGGAATTTGCTCGTGTCCATAAAACAAAATGCGCGTCAAGTTACGCGCAAACTTTCCCCCCATTATCCCTCCATGCTTGTCGACACTATTATTCCCTCATACTCCCATCTATTCATCTGTTGTACATACAAACTGTACTTATGTCCTGTCCCACCCTTCTCCGCCGCCCTTCTTGTCATAGCCAAATCTGCTGGCTGGACTTGAATCGTTGTAGCATGCAACGGTGAGTCAGTTTCAAACTCCTCGACTGGATTCATTTGGCTTACCTGTTTCCCAGTACCCTTACGACCAACGCGGTGCCTTTGTCACATTGTACCTTGCTCTAAGTAAGTTTGGGAATCATCCTACTTAAGTTTCTTGCTTACCTCCCTGTCAGTACCAAAATCGGTTCCCGCATTTGCGCGAGCAACACTTGTTATCGGAACTATGATCTCGGTGAGTTTTCTTAGTACAGTATGATGACGCGGACTGACCTTGGTTAACCATCAGGTTGGAGGCCGCAAGTTGCGTGCGGTTCGGACGAGCGTGATCGTCATTCGCAGGCTGGTCTCTCAAGGTGAGTGATTTGCTGAAATTGACTGAAACTCGCTTACCTGATTGAAGTTGAGCTGAGGCTGGCCTTGTCAAGCGCGGGACGTTCCTCGTTGTCTACCAAGGTAAGTACCACTTGTTTTTGTTTATAAATGCTTCCGCTCACCTTGATTGTTCTGTCCAGCTTGGTCTTGCCTGTGGACACACCGTGTTGTCATCTGCAAAGGTAAGTATAACTGTTTGTGTTCGCATTCGCTCAGGCTTACCGTTCTTCTTTTGCTCAGCACGAATCTTCACGCGCTGTTCGTTGCAGCTGCAAAAGTGAGCTTCTTGTTCCCAACTCGAAATTTGACTTACCCATGTCTAGCGCGTTATACGAGGTCGCGCCGCCTTGGCCGCGCAAGAGTCAGCAATTGCAACGTTTCCTGCACTTTTGACTCACCGATTCAAGCCAGCGCGCCGTTGCGCTCGCCGTTCCACCTTCCCTGGCCCACTTTCGCGCCGATCGAGCCGAACTATGCATTGAAGTGAGTTTGTGGGGCGAAACGAAGGGAATTAGTAACTTGCATGCCAGATTCAGGCGCTAACGGCGCCATAATGACCCGCCCGCGGTTTCAAGTAAGTGTTTCCCCCGTCTCCCGATGATTGACTTGCATAGTTGTCCTTGTCGTTGCGCGAGGCACTTGCTGGCGTTAATAGTCGGCGCAGAGAGAAGGCAAGGGTGTCGTTGGCGGTAACGGGTCGTTTGGGCGGCATTCCGCGAGTTGATGATGTTGTTGCCTCGACGGCGCGCCGGCCCCAGCCGCTTGCCCAGAGATTTTGAGGCAACCGGGTGGACCGGGGGCAGTCCTGCAATTCGGGTAGCGCGCCGGCCCAGTCCGTATCCAGTTGTTAGTCGTGAGTTGCCAAAGGGGAAAGGGGAAGCCGGATAGGCGCCGGCATGAGTTTTTGGTGGTTTTAGAGCGCGCGGTTGGCCTGGCCAGGTCGCCGCTAAATGCTGGGCGTGGCCCGGTGCAAGTTTGATCGCTGGGGATAGCGGGCTGACTGGGCCGGACTCACCGCTTGCCTCGATATCCCCGCTCCCCTTCCGCCGTTTCTCTTCCCTCTCCCCGCTATCCCCCGTCGTTTGAGGCGCACATGCCGCTTATGAAAGGCTGTCGTCGTCGAAGAGGTCGTCTGCGCTTGTGCCGACGATCGAGATGAAGGAGAAGAGGAAAAGATACGAGTCACGAACGATGTGACGGCACGCGCAAAGGTGAGCAAATATTTCGTTGTTTCTTCTACTTAATACAGCGGAGTACTGACATATATTCTACTAGGGGGATTTGCTGACCCGTCATCCAGTCCACGCGCCCCATTCCATTCTGGCTGGCAAATCAAACTAAAGGTAAGTTATCATTGACTTTATATAATTCAATCGTGCTTACCTTGTTGTCAGCTCCAGCAGCACTATACTCTGGGCTTGTCGTTGCCCGCGCTGACGTCGTCTCGTTCCACGCCGAGCCCGCAAGCAACACTGAAGGCAAGTGAGTATTTTATTTTTCCATTCATCGAGCTTACCTTGTTAGCATACTGGTTGTTGGCGGCGCATTCACTGCTTTCGCTCGAGCGCGAAGGCAGCATTTTGTCCAGAGTTATATTTGCCAGGTTATGTATATCCACTGACTGAACTTCAATTTTAGATATCAAACTACGCGCACCTGCTGTTCGGCCAGCGCAACGCTGATTTCCGCAAGCGCAACTAAACGTAAGTCAGTTCGCAATTCATCTGCTTTACATTCTGGCTCACCTCGTCATCGAATAGGTTCATTTGTCGCTGCCGAAGACCTCTGAACACAAGTAAGTTCATTATCCAACCTACCAGGCTGACCTTGTCCTCAGCAACCATCCTGGTCGTTGGCGGCAGCGCGAAGCCATGATTGTCTTCCTAACTTGGTCAGTTGCATTCCCAAGGTTTATATCCACTTACTGAACTTCCACCAGCCGAGCTTCAAGCTCGCAGACGAAACTAAAAGCAAGTGAGTTAACAATTCATTTACTTCGAGTTCTCGCTTACCTCGTCGTCGAAAAGCTACGTTTGTTGCGATCGAAGGCCGCTGAAACGATTAGTGAGTAAGTTAACTTGGTTCTGCTGCTCATGCTCACGTTTACAGCCAAAGCAAGCGCCGAGCGCGAATGGGCTCGCAAGTGACACTAGTACTGAAGGCGAAATCCCTCGTTGTCAGTAGACGCCATCAAAGGCCTTTGGAACAAACCTACGAGTCCGCGCGCTTACGTTCGCTGCAACCAAACTATGTTGAGTTGTTGTTACTAGTACTGTTCGCGCTCACCTTTGCAGCTCAAGCAGGCGAGTGCGAGCCCAACGTTCGCTTCTAAGCCTCCAAAGCAAAACTGAAGGCCAGTAAGTTTGTAATTCATTTACTTTCACTGTTTGCTTACCTCCTCGTCAACAGTTTCACTGAAACAAATCAGTAAGTATCCGAGCTTGTTGTTGGCGTTCGCGCTCACCGTTGCAGCGAGCGCAACAGGCGAGCGCGCAAATGTAAGCCCATCGTTGGCCAGTTGTCGTTTTGCGAACGACGCTCTATCAAAGCAGTAAGTCGAGATACAACAAACTTCAATCTTACCAACCAGCCCTCCTACATTCGGCGTTCTAGATGAGTCGTGGTCGTCGGAGTCGTCCCAGGTAAGTGGTTATTTTTGCCGCTTACTTGTTTGTTGACACCCTTCCGAAAGCAACCATATCGCTCCCTTAGTCGCCTTCAACAACGACAACGTCGGGATTTCTGTTGTCGCGGGCATTGTTGAGCTCGAGTTAACGAGCTCTAGAACACCCAAGGCGGAACCATAGTCGTTAACGCGGTTTCGAAGTACGGATTTGGCAGTTGCGGGAATTGAGCTTGACTGGGGCGGAACGGCAGGTGAGCAAATCATGTCTTCCCGAATCTGCCCCAACTCACCCGCTCCCCAACACTGCATTCGGCTCACCTTCCCGGCCAGAACGAGCGGTTGCGCCGTTTGGGTGGATTGCTTCAGCGGGAGGGATTTGCCGTTCCGGAGGTCCCAGTAGCCAGTATGTAGTCGTGAGATGGAGGGAAAGCCAGACGCCGGCTGTGCCGCCTGGCCTGAGTTTCGCCGTTGCCGGTGGTGGTTGCTGCTGCGAGAGCTGGGCCGGCTGCAAAGACGGTCAGCGGGCCAGTCGGACTGACACTCACCGTGTTCCGCAAAACGGTGCCGCCATCTCCACTTGTGCGAGGCGTGCCGGTTGTGATCGGAACCCGTAGCTGGCTGGACCCGCGCGGAATGAAGTGGTGGTTGCCGTAAGAATGTCGCAGTAGACTACTGCTGATGCTTGTCGGAGGGCTGGAAGCCAGAGTCCTTGGCCGGCCGGCCACGCTGCCAGTTTGTGGGAGCTCGGTTTCGGGATGGAAGAGAGTAGTTCGTGGTGGTCGTGGAAAGAGCGTCGGTCCGGGTCCCGGCGCCGGGCGTCACAGCACTGCCAAGGCGTGACCCGACCTTCAAGCGCCAACGCCGAACACCACAATGCACCGACCAACCGTCCAGCTGGCGCTGCGTTAGCCCTACGACTGCTTGACAGCCAGGTTGGTTTGCCGCTCGCTGTCACCATTTGTGTGGCTCACCGTGTTTTGCAGAACTCGTCTACTTCCTTGAGCTTGAAGCTATCCTCGACCACTGCCGACATATACCAACGACGCGCGGCCGAGCTGGAGACAAAAATTCTCCCTGATCGCGTCGCTTACGTGAGCACTTTCCGCGGTACATTTTGCTCAACTAACTTTTTTTTTTTTTTTTTTTTTGCTGCCAGAACCGCGAGCAACGCCTCGGGCTTGAACGGAAGGGGTGTAGTCTGGACTGTGGAGGTCGTCGCTGGCGTGCGCGAAGGACGTGCTGTGGTCCTCTCGATCGATCGACACAAAGTACGTGTTGAGTAAAACTCGGACGAACATGGGCAAACCTGACCGTTGTAGCCCCATGATTTCGCCCAAACCAGCCCAACAAGTGTTGCTGAATGCAGAAAACACACTCCCTGATTCGCGTCCGCTGCTTGTGATAAATGGCTTTCCAAAGACCAACGTTGCAAAACTATGAATTCACGGAGATAACGCTTACCTCGTCGGTTTAGTTTACTATCGAGCTCTCCGCCCTTAGCTAATGGCCCAGCACTCCCGTTTCACGTAGAACGTCAGCGGGAACACGCGCTCACTTCCGGCCAGCATACCCAGCCTGGCAAGTGCTGCTGAATGCAGAAAACACGCTTGCACCGCTGACTACTCGTCAGTTTCCTTAGCAAAATGGGATAATCTGCCATACCTGACCAGTTCAGCGTTTGGGAGCGGCGAGGCGGCGGAGGAGGAGCCTGCGGCGGAGGAAGATCCGAGGTACGCGGCGTGCGGCGTGCGTGCCGAGATGCTTATACCGCAAGGGCTCGAAGGACGCCTACACCGGTCGTTGAGCAAGATAACACTGTTGTACATGTTTTACGCTCCTGCAAACATTATGAGCCCTCTTCCGTTGTCCGTCCCGCCCGCGAGTGCCGCCAACCGCTTGAGCTGCGACGCCATTTCTCCCTTTGGCTTGTCGTCGACCCGCATGCGCCACAGCGGGTGGCGACTATGCGACTTGAGGGCAATCAGCACATAAATGTTTGCCGCCCATGGGCATTTCCGTGCCCGTGCCGCCCAATGGCGCACTTTAGGAGAATTTCCCAGACAAATATATGCCTCCATGATGGCATTGATGGCGGCGTGGTACTGCGCCTCGCCCTCGAGCTTCTCTTGTTCCAACAGCGCTATTTGCTCGAGACACTTGTTGATGAGCCAGTCATCAGGCAAAGACCGGTTGACGGCCCACAACTGGACGGTTGGAACGAACGAGCGAATCTTGGCACGACGAGCGTCGGAGTTGACGGGGTCGAGACACGCATCACACGCGCAAACGAATCCGTATGGCTTGAAGGTCTGCTGGCGATTCGCTGCAGTGTCCCAGACGTCGGAATAAGCCAACGTCAGTTCTTCGCCTTCCGCAATGTCACGCGCTGCATAGACTGTGTAGGAGATAGACGCGTCGTGGAAGTTGGTGCTCGTATTGGGGCAGCAACTGTAAGAGTATCAGAGAAAGATGATAGGACGCCGTGCCTATTGTTCATGCGCGAAATAAAATGTGGGACAGAGCTATACTGTGCCATTGGACCACTCATCTCAGGGCAGAGTCCATCCAGACCGATGCTATTCGTTCGGATTCGACCAGCTATAGGTCCCTTGCAACAAGACGAGTTAGTAACACAAAAGAAAGAAATGTGAGTGACAACTCACTGATCCATCGGTCGTATGGCTGTTTGCAAGGGACATGAAAGCATCCCGATCTGCAGGCCGCATTTCCTTCAAAACCACCTCTAGGTACTTCTCAAACTCCCTCAGCTGGTATTTTGTCGTCTGCTCCTGACTATACCAGATGGGCACTGCGACGGGCACCCCTCGAACGCTGATGAGCAATGGCCGCTCATCGATGATAAGCTCTCCTTGACTGAGAGCACGAGCAGCAAAAAGACCAAGCCCCTTGTTTCCCGCCTCTCCAACTCGGAACGTGGGTTTGGACACCGTGCGTAGGGGCTGAGGATAGCCCGGCATCTTCGTCAACACCTCTTTTGAGCCGGGCCAGAAGAAACAGACGGTGACGGGCTCATCGGGGCCTGCGTTTGCTGGCAGGACGACAATCTCGGTGGAAGAGAAATCGAGTGGAGCAGCTTCGCCTTGAAAATTGAATTATGAACGCGTCCGACGCCGCCGCCGCTCCACCTCCGATACCCTCCCGCATCCACCTCAACGCCTTACTCACCCATCGCAAAGGCTCGCAGCTCGCTAAGGCTCGCAGCGAGCGCTCTTATTTTATGCACCAAAAGACAAAATTTTTTACAGGTTATCCGACGTGTAAACAAGCTATCCGACGCGTACTACAAGTTCACAAAGGTACCCGACGCGTGCAGAGAAGAAAAAAACACGTAAAAGAAGAAAAAAAACTACTATCCCCGTCTAGCTCCCCAGATCCATCGAGACGCGCTATCCCGATCCAAAGGCCAGGTCTTGGCGCGTCGGAGCTGGCTGCCGAGAATGGCGCCATTGCCAGGCAGCAGCCCAGTTGGCGCTGAGTACGCAGAAATCAAGCCCATGACCAGATTCAAGGCAGACCCTTCCTCCGCGTTGTAGCCCGGGTGCCCTGCCCAGCGTCACTTGCCGTCGTGACAGAGATTTGGCGGGCAAGTTCACGAGGGTTTGTCTGGACGCTAACGGCGCCCCAGCGAAAAAAATGGGTGCTCCCCGGGCGAGTTTTGGCAAGCCCGGCCAGAAAAAATGGCAGTTAAAGCGCCGGTCAGTGCCAACGCGCCGCAGGCGAGCTCTCGCGAAAAATGGAGTGGTGCGAGGCAACTTTTGAAGGGAAAGTCGCGATGGGCGCTGCAGTCTCGGGAGGGGGGCCGCGCTCTCACCAGAGCAGCTTCAATGGCGCCGCAGGCGAGCTCCAGCGAAATATAACTGGTCCAGAGGCAAGTTTTGAAGGCAAGTTGGAAGTCGCAAGGAGACTGGACTGGGGACTTGCAACAATAGCAGTGAGAAGCGCCAGTTGCTGTCATGCAACTAAGTCCATCGTAAGCCGGCACGACGCGCGTGGCGTTTGACTCGTGACGCGCGGCAGGCGAGCTCCACCGAGAAATCAAAGGTGCGGAGGGGAGTTTTTTTGGGGGGAAAGGGATTGAACGCTCAACGACAGAAATTTGGCGCCGCAGGCCCGCTCTAGCTAAAAATGGCTGTTGCGGGGGGCCAAATTGTGGGCATGAGCCCAGCGCGTTTGCAAGCAGGTGGACCCGCCGAAGGCGTTGACGACAGCGAGACCAAGCTGATGGACAAGGCAGCTAACGCTGCACTTTGGTCGTTGGTGATGATGTTTGGGGGAAAGAGTCGGCCGTGCTCGCCAACGCGGAGGCGCCGCGTTGCGCTGGTCGAAATAGATCGGTCCGTGGTGGTAGAGTTCTGCCCAGCCAGGTGCCGTGCCAGACGCGCGTTTGGTCGGGGTGGGCGCACAGTTAATCAGCGCGTTTGTCGTTGCCAACGGCGTTGTAGAGGGCATTTAAGACCAAGCGCCGGCGAGTTGAGGTCAGAGCAAATGCATAGTGACTTGGCGCTGGGGTAGTTGGCTCAATGTGCATGGTGGTAGGAAGGAAGGCCAATTCGGGCACGTGCCGCCGGCCCATGGCCCGGTAGGGGCCGCGGTCAAGACTGGCTCGTCTCGTAGTCGTTGGATGCGTCGCAGCCCACAATAGAAGACGGGGGCGTCGGAGTCAAGGTGTGGGGACAAGGCCCTCGCGTCGTTAGAGAGTTTGGCGTGGTGGGAAGATGAAGGCCGGTTCGGGCACGTGCCGCCGGGTCGGAGCCGCGGTCAAGACCGGGGAAGCCCGGCGTTGTCGACTGGAAGCCGCAGAGCCCTTGGGAATATGGCAGGTGGCGGAATCAACGCGGGGGGAAACGACGTGCCGCCGGCAGAGGTCGCGGTTGGCCGGAGTAGGGCCCATCGTTGAGGAAATTTGGGATGGGTGATGAATGGACTATGTGATAGTTTAAGCACTGGCACTGGGAAACAAAGAAAACCAGAGTGAAAACTCACAGTGGGGGGATTGGCAGCGCACTGCTGCCAATGATTGCGTTGAAAGTCCTCCTGTTTTTTTCGCCTCCGGCGGCAAAATCCTGGAAAAAATGGCGTCTTGAATCATGTTTTTTGAGGTCCAAATGACGACCCGGAATCATCGGATAATCCGGTGATCGCATCAAAATTCGGTGATGGGAGCGATTTTTCGACGACAGGCGCAACACGTTGGGGACACTGAGATCAAGGTCAGTAATAGCACAATGGAGGGAAGGAGCAAGAGCTCACCATTATCAAAGACCACATGAGGGTCTCGGCATCGACACGCCTGTGCTAGATGCGGGGATAGCAGAATGCGTTGGGCAGGGTTGGTGAGGACAATGGCCACGAGAGGGAAGCCAGGGAGCAGAGCCCTGGCTCCGAGGCGTTGAAGTCCAGAGGGACGCTAGGCCTCCGGCCGTCAAAATCCTGGCGCAAAAGTGAGTTTTTTTAAGGCAAAGAGTGGGTCGGAAAGTGCTTACGTAAGCATCAATTGATTCATCATTTTATACCAATTTTCAGCAAGACTATCGCGTTCTGCGAAGCAAGTGAGTACATCAGCGAGATTCAGCAGGTGCGAGGCTCACTGATGCTGTGCCTCAGGCACAAGCCAAAGCCAGTGCCGCGCAGACAAGGCCGCAGATACAGGCGGTTACTACGGAAGCAATGCAATGTCGATGGGGCCATTGGCGCGTACGCGAAGACAGGGAGGGAAATGAGATGGTTATAATGCCGAAGACAAGTCTAAACATTGCAGTGAGTACTGATGCTTCAAATGCAGAGGCGGGGACTCGGACGTACGCAATGTGACAAGGCCTTCTCGCGCTCGTCGTTTGAGTGGTGTCCTCAAATGGGGAACAAGTGCCGTGACTCGCCCACTCGCACTTGTTGCTGATGGCAGAAGCGCTCGAGATACCGCCAGTTGCACGGAAGCCAAGTCGCGAGAGCAGCAGTTGTCGTGCTGCTAAGAGAAAAAAGCTGAGGCCAAGAGCCTCAGCACGAAGACTTCCTCGTTGCATAGAGTCAAGACTGTGGGTGGCTTGTAAGCAAAATTATCAACAAAACCGCAGCAGGGAACACACATCTTGTAGGTCGTCTGGGAATTGAGGGACGCGGTGGTGGTTGACAGCAGTCGAGATGGCAGCAACGCAGCCGCCAAGGCCGCGTGAAGCTGTTGATGCGAGCAGCGCGGCCGCCAAGGCGACAGTACAGTGATGCTGTCGATGGCGCTCGCGGCAGCCAACGCAAACTCTGGGGGAATTAGCACAATACCAAAGACGAATGTGGCAGCACGTACAGGGCACTCGAAGGCCGACATCACGCAACACGACGCCGACTGAGAGACATAGTTGGTGGGTTTGCTGGGCAGCAGGCGCAACGTCTTGGTGGGTGACTTTGCAAAGGGCTCGTTGTGAAGTTTGCGGGCGGCGGGGGCAGGGAGGAAGACAAGGGAAGGAGAGGGAGGTGGTGGTTATGAGCAAACCCTAGACAAAGTGTGACGCTGGAAAAAAATTGCCGTCAGATGGGCACGCGTCGCAACGCGTTGTTGACTTGGTCATGACAGTGGGAAGAAAAAGTGTGACAAGGCGTGACGAGTCCGATGGCCAAGGAAAATTTAAAAAAAATAATGGCGCCATGTCGGCGGCGCGCGTAAGAAGTTCCTGAGTCATCAGGGGCAATTCCCCGAGTCAGGTCGCAAGCGAGGTTCCTGTGTGACGCAGACAGCGGCAAGCGCAGGGGTAATACGACAAGTAATGTCGGCTACCCATGACTATCGTGGAATCCTCGCTTGGCTGGCTTTTGCCCTTATGCCGTCTGCGCACTTTTGTTCGAGTGTGTCATTTTTCTAGCCCATCGCCTCATTTTTTGCCCTGCAACCATCACCCCAAAAATGTTCGTCACATCCCACCCTGCATCCAGGTCTGCTCTCTGGAATTTTTTCAGTGCTTTTCTGAGCGCCACACACAGGGTATCCCAAAAGGGAATGAGCACAACAATTGCTCGTTGCACTGTACTCTGCCCGGGATCGGCAGACCCCGAAGCGTGGGAAACATTGTTGAATACACATCAGTACTATCTACGTCTTCATCGCCGCTATCCAGCGTCTTGTACCCTCTGTATTCACTGCAAAGCTCTCTATGCTGATAATACTGTGTCCGCTCATCGCCATTTCCGATTGTGCCGAGTGTGTGAGAACATTATGTTACCATCACCCCTGACCCATCACCGCGAGGATCGGACGGGAAGCGCAACGCCGCGCGTACTGTTTCCTTGGAACTTCACAAATACGCGATTTTCAGTCGCATGGTGTCCACTCCCGCCCCAACGGATCAATATCACGCTGGGAAACCTTTCGGAGGAATTTGCTCGTGTCCATAAAACAAAATGCGCGTCAAGTTACGCGCAAACTTTCCCCCCATTATCCCTCCATGCTTGTCGACACTATTATTCCCTCATACTCCCATCTATTCATCTGTTGTACATACAAACTGTACTTATGTCCTGTCCCACCCTTCTCCGCCGCCCTTCTTGTCATAGCCAAATCTGCTGGCTGGACTTGAATCGTTGTAGCATGCAACGGTGAGTCAGTTTCAAACTCCTCGACTGGATTCATTTGGCTTACCTGTTTCCCAGTACCCTTACGACCAACGCGGTGCCTTTGTCACATTGTACCTTGCTCTAAGTAAGTTTGGGAATCATCCTACTTAAGTTTCTTGCTTACCTCCCTGTCAGTACCAAAATCGGTTCCCGCATTTGCGCGAGCAACACTTGTTATCGGAACTATGATCTCGGTGAGTTTTCTTAGTACAGTATGATGACGCGGACTGACCTTGGTTAACCATCAGGTTGGAGGCCGCAAGTTGCGTGCGGTTCGGACGAGCGTGATCGTCATTCGCAGGCTGGTCTCTCAAGGTGAGTGATTTGCTGAAATTGACTGAAACTCGCTTACCTGATT